GAAGACATCTGTCACTCAATCCCAGATTCAGCGACCAAATACCCTGTGCAAGGCTCCAACTAAGAGCTTCCAGTCCATTCGCACCTGCTCCCATTGCCAGAAACCCTATCGCCGTCAGACTTCAACCGAATGTTGATCCAAGTAGAATTCACCATGGTCAGAAGTGGATACCTGCGCAGAAAGATTTTTCAAAGTGCCTTAGGAGGCGCGCTGTCCCTACTTGCACTATCTTGCCATGACGAGGCTAAGCTGAAGGCATGGGTAGGCCCAGGACAACCAGCCCCTCATCATAGCTGCAGGAGGCTGCCGGGTTCTAGCTTTATTTAAGCCCGCCTCCACCACCACCATCATCATCATCATCATAATCATCATCATCATCACTATATTCATCACCATCATCATCATCATCACCATCATCATCATCATCACCATTATTATCATCACCCCTGTAACTCTGTGTGAGACAGTCATCCAATATTACTGATTTTAAAATGTAAGGTATTACACTACTTTTGCATTACTTTAAGTTACTTTCACCAAAACAACTTCAGTATGAATCTGGTAATGTGACGCTTAGTGAGCTCATGACATATATGTGGAAGGTGATGTGGTGTCTGCGCTAGGATTGCTTTTAAAACAGTCAGATATAATAACAGTGCTTTAAAATGATTGTTTATTAAATAAAAACAACAACAATCAGTACTCTCAGCACGCTGCCATCTTATAGGGCCATCTGAGCAGGGAGTGAGGTGGTGGGGGCTCCTAGCCTATATTTGCCTTGGTCCCCAAATGCCTTGATACGGCCCTGGATGTGGGACTGACTTCTGGGGTGATCTGATTCTATCACATGTATAAATATTAAATGCTTATATATTATTGCTTTTCACTGGTAAAAATGTGTATTGGGGATAAATCTGCCAACTTTTTTTCTTGATATTATTTGAATAATTTCCGGCCCTTTTTCTCTCTAACCTTCCTGCATGCTGCATGTTTTCTCCGTCTTCCAGAAAAACTGTTTCCTAGATTTCCTACTTTCTAACTAATCAGCCAAAGGGATCTACCAAACACAAAACAAAGCTTAATATGCGCTGCGCTCCAGCAGCTATGAGCTGAAATCACCGGGGCACAGATTATGAACTCAGCTGAAAATTACATGAAGTACCAGAGAATATGGGCTGACATAAACAATCACAAACGAATGACATTGTTTTGGTGGAGCGATTTTGTGAATATAACAGCGGCCGCGTGCAGGATGCAGCTGGAGTATTTGAGCCATAACCGCTGCGTCCTCTCTGCTCATAGAATGCCCGCAAAGCTCGTCTCGTCTCGTCTTCCTCCGCTTATCCGGGTCCGGGTCGCGGGGGCAGCATCCCAACTAGGGAGCTCCAGGCCGTCCTCTCCCCGGCCTTGTCCACCAGCTCCTCCGGCAGGACCCCAAGGCGTTCCCGGACCAGATTGGAGATGTAACCTCTCCAACGTGTCCTGGGTCGACCCGGGGGCCTCCTGCCGGCAGGACATGCCCGAAACACCTCCCCGGGGAGGCGTCCAGGAGGCATCCTGACCAGATGCCCAAACCACCTCAACTGGCTCCTTTCGATCCGGAGGAGCAGCGGTTCTACTCCGAGTCCCTCCCGAATGTCCGAGCTCCTCACCCTATCTCTAAGACTGAGCCCGGCCACCCTACGGAGGAAACTCATTTCAGCCGCTTGTATCCGCGATCTCGTTCTTTCGGTCATTACCCAAAGCTCATGACCATAGGTGAGGATTGGGACGTAGATCGACCGGTAAATCGAGAGCCTGGCTTTCTGGCTCAGCTCCCTCTTCCCCACGACAGATCGGCTCAGCGTCCGCATCACTGCAGACGCCGAACCAATCCGCCTGTCGATCTCCCGATCCCTCCTACCCTCACTCGTGAACAAGACCCCGAGATACTTAAACTCCTCCACTTGAGGTAGGACCTCTCCCCCGACCCGGAGGTGGCAAGCCACCCTTTTCCGGTCGAGAACCATGGTCTCAGATTTGGAGGTGCTGATCCTCATCCCAGCCGCTTCACATTCGGCCGCGAACCTACCCAGCAAGAGCTGAAGGTCAGAGCTGGATGAAGCTAGGAGGACCACATCATCCGCAAAAAGCAGAGACGAGATTCTCCTGCCACCAAACTCGACACACTCCACACCACGGCTGCGTCTAGAAATTCTGTCCATAAAAGTGATGAACAGAACCGGTGACAAAGGGCAGCCCTGGCGGAGTCCAACCCTCACTGGGAACAGGTCCGACTTACTACCGGCTATGCGGACCAAACTCACGCTCCTCTGGTAAAGGGACTGAATGGCCCTTAACAGAAAGCCACCCACCCCATACTCCTGGAGCGTCCCCCACAGGGTGCCCCTGGGGACACGGTCATAAGCCTTCTCCAAATCCACAAAGCACATGTGGATTGGTTGGGCAAACTCCCATGCCCCCTCCATCACCCTTGCAAGGGTATAGAGCTGGTCCACAGTTCCACGGCCAGGACGAAAACCACATTGCTCCTCCTCTATCTGAGATTCAACTATCGATCGGACCCTCCTCTCCAGTACCTTGGAGTAGACCTTTCCAGGGAGGCTGAGGAGTGTGATCCCCCTATAGTTGGAACACACCCTCAGGTCACCCTTCTTAAAGATGGGGACCACCACCCCGGTCTGCCACTCCCTAGGAACTGCCCCCGATGACCACGCAATGTTGTAGAGACGTGTCAACCATGACAGCCCTACAACATCCATAGCCTTGAGATACCCAGGACGAACCTCATCCGCCCCCGGGGCTCCGCCGCTGTGTAGTTGTTTGACTACCTCAGCAACTTCTGCCCCCGAGATCGGACAGTCCATCCCCAGGCCTCCCAGCTCTGGTTCCTCCTCGGAATGCGCATTGGTGGGATTGAGGAGCTCCTCAAAGTATTCCTTCCACCATCCGACTATAGCCTCAGTTGACGTCAGCAGCTCCCCATCCCCACTGTAAACAGTGTGAGCGAGTTGCTGCCTTCCTCTCCTGAGGCGCCGGACAGTTTGCCAGAACCTCTTTGGAGCCGATCGATAGTCTTTCTCCATGGCCTCACCAAACTCCTCCCACGCCTGAGATTTTGCCTCGGCAACTGCCACTGCTGCACCCCGCTTGGCTATCCGGTACCTGTCTGCTGCCTCCGGAGACCCACAGACCAGCCACGCCCTGTAGGCCTCCTTCTTCAGCCTGACGGCTCCCCGAACCTCTGGTGTCCACCAGCGGGTACGGGGGTTGCCACCACGACTGGCACCGGCCACCTTACAACCACAGCTAGCAACAGCCGCCTCGACAATCGCAGAGTGGAACAAGGCCCACTCGGACTCAATGTCCCCCACTGCTCTCGGGACGTGGTCAAAGCTCTGCCGGAGGTGGGAGTTGAAGACCGTCTTGACAGGTTCTTCTGCCAGGCGTTCCCAGCAGACCCTCACTATGCGTTTGGGTCTGCCAGGTCTACGGGGCATGTTCCCTTGCCATCTGATCCAACTCACCACCAGGTGGTGATCAGTTGACAGCTCCGCCCCTCTCTTCACTCGGGTGTCCAAAACATACGGCCGCAGGTCAGATGATACGACTACAAAATCTATCATCGACCTGTGACCTAGGCTGCCCTGGTACCAAGTGTACCGGTGGGCATCCTTATGTTCGAACATGGTGTTCGTTATGGCCAAACTGCGGCTTGCACAGAAGTCCAATAACAAAACACCGCTCGAGTTCAGATTAGGTGGGCCGTTCCTCCCAATCACACCCCTCCAGGTCAAGCTGTCATTGCCCACGTGAGCATTGAAGTCCCCCAGCAGGACAATGGAGTCCCCTGATGGAGCACTATCTAGCACTCGTCCCAGGGACTCCAAAAAGGGTGGGTACTCCGAACTGATATTTGGCCCATAAGCACAAACAACAGTCAGGACCCGTTCCCCGACCCGAAGGCGCAAGGAAGCTACCCTCTTGTCCCCCGGGGTAAACCCCAACACACAGGCAGAGAGTCTCGGGGCTAACAAAAAGCCAACCCCAGCCCTCCGCCTCTCACCCGGAGCAACTCCAGCAAAGTAGAGTGTCCAACCCCTCTCCAGGTCTCGGGTTCCAGAGCCAATGCAATGTGTCGAGGTGAGTCCGACTATATCTAGCCGGTACCGCTCAACCTCTGCCACAAGCTCCGGCTCCTTCCCCGCCAGCGAGGTGACGTTCCATGTCCCAAAAACTAGTTTTCTTGTCCGGGGATTGGACCGCCAAGGCTCCCGCCTTGGTCTGCCACCCGATTCGCATTGCACCGGACCCTTCATGTTCCTCCTGCGGGTGGTGGGTCCACAGTTGGACGAGCCCATGTATCCGGTTCGGGCTGGGCCCGGCCGGGCCCCATGGGCGAAAGCCCGGCCACCAGGCGCTCGCTCACGGGCCCCAACCCCAGGCCTGGCTCCAGGGTGGGACCCCGGTAACCCTCCGGGCCGGGTACTCCGACTCTTCGTTTTAACCGCCATGAAAGATCCTTCGAACTGTTCTTTGTCTCACCCTTCACCTAAGACCAATTTGTCATGGGAGACCCTACCAGGGGCACTAAGTGCCCCAGACAACATAGCTCCTAGGATCATTAGGGCACTCAAACTCCTCCACCACGATAAGGTGACGGTTCAAGGAGGAAAGCTGAGTCCATAAATGATGTCATATATGTGGATACTGGATCTTTTTTCAGGCTTCCCGCAATTTGAATTTTTAGGAAACCCGCATCTTGATTTTGGGTTTAAAAATGCATTGTAATTACCGCGTTAGTGACAACTGAACAGAGTAAATATTACCATTTTCTTTCCCTGTAATGCCTTACATTACCACATTACAGCAAAAAGCAGTGCATTACAGTAATTAATTACTTTTGTACCGCGTTACTCCCAACACTGTTCATCTGTTTGATTAGTTGCTGGTTATAGGCTCTTATCCTTGAGGTTTAGACTCATCACTGAGCTCCTTACCTTGAACTGTTTTTCCATTTGGGTCCTCCCAGCAGGTCCTGGAGTCAGAAGTTCCTCCACATACTTGTGGAGATGATCTGCCGTCACCTTTGTCTCACCAGATAAGATGGCTTCCACCAATGCATCGTGAATAAAAACATACTGCGCCTGTAGAATCAATAAGGCTGTGATGCACACCAATTATTATTTATTTACACAAGTACAAAAACATTATTTTTGTGTGCAGTGAGTATCTTTAGGAGCTATAGATGTTTGAACATATGAAAAGGTGATGGACCAATTTAGTGTAATTCCAGCTGCAAATGTGCATCTTTTCTTGCAATTTTGTGTCTCCAACTAGTCACAAACAGTGACAAATCAATGAGTTACTGGAGAAAAATAAATGACATTTTCACAAACAGGGAAATTTGCAGAAGTAGAAAAAGCCCCCCCCCCCCCCCCCCCCCCACACACACACACACACACACACACACACACACACACACCACACTGTTGACACCTCTGGGCCTGTGCATTATTTTGAAAAAGCCCACAGTAGCTGGCCGAGTTAAAAAGACCGACGTGTCTGTGCTCTAACCTCTGTCTGGACCAGGTCTTTCCTCTGAGTACGGATGTGTTTGAGGAACCCTGTGATGTTCACGGTGCCTTCATCCTTCATCTGCTTCAGCATGCTGTCCAGGACGATGTATGTGCCAGTCTGGCCAACTCCAGCACTGCACAGAACCACAGAAAAACAACGATTCCTAGATGTTCTCCACTGAGGGTGGTGATGGTGGTGAAAACTCATGTGACCTGCAGTGGACCACCAGTGGCCCCATGCCGTCAGTCCTGGCCTGTGATGAATTCCATATAAAGTTCAGCAGAGGCAGAGAATACTCTGGGACCCCCATGTCTGGCCACTGGGTGTAATGGTATTGTGTTACAGCCCGCTCACTGCCCCGCCCCTTCTGGGAGCCCTGAGGAAGAACAAAATCAAGGAAGTTACTAACAAAAGGGACCCACATTTCTCATCATGTGCAGCTGCTTGCTGCACGTTGATCAATTAACATTATCTAAAAAGGATGGGCAGACACAGAAACTTCCTCAAAAACACTTGAGATGCTGGCAAGCAGGTGAAGGTTTCAGTTCTCTAGAGCAGGTGTCACCAACTCCAGTCCTCGAGGGCTAACACTCTGCTGGTTTTCTGTTTCCTGCACTACCACACTTGAATGGAGAAATTTAATCATCTCCTTGCACGTTTAACTCTGCACAGGCCTGTTAATTACTCATTCATTACAATCAGATGTGTGGGAGCAAAGAAACTGCTAACATGTGCACGACGGTAGGCCAGAGTTGGTGACCGCTGATCTAGAGGATGGTGGTCCTAGGCGGTTCAAACTATGGAAACCAGACATCTTCATCTTCTTGAGGTTTCATTGCTTCTCCAAGCAGCTTTATAGACTGAAAAGTTGTTGATGAAAAGTGTTTTAAACTGCTGTGAAATTTTGGGACCCTCCAGTTCCGCAGACAAGGAGGAACACTGAAGTTGTACATGAGAACAAATCACTTCAGTTCAGTCTATCCATCAGCGCTGGTTAGTAAGCCTCAGCACGAGCAGTTACACATCGTGTTGATTTCAGGTCTAGATTCACGCAAATGTTTGCAGAAAAGTCATTTAACTAATAATATAATCAGTTGCTCTAGATCATAAAATGCTCAGATTAGGCCCAGATAAAGAGACAAGCAGATTGTATTTAATCTTTTACATCTAAAAATCCCCTGATCTGTGTTGCCTGAGTACTAACGTAGTCCCTCTGGTAGTAACAACCACTTCACATGGCTCATAACTACTTTTGTCTTTCAGTTTAAACTTCACCAGGTCTAGCGTTCCTGTCATGTGACTAGCTAATAAGTGGTTCGCTTAAAAAAAACAATTTAACAGGTTTCCGTATTAGAGTGGCTGGAGTGCGTATGATCACTGGTTGTATTATAGATGCTCTATCCTGACTACTCTTATTGAGGGATTCATGTTTTTTTTGTCAACGCTCCAGCGGATTGGAACAAATTATCTGCTCATTTAAGGTTCATTACATGTTTTCGTCAGCTTTGAACTTCAGTGTATGAACATGCAATGCTCACTTGCAGCATGACCCGTTCTACTGTGCTGTGGTTTATCGTCCACCTGGTTGAAACGGTTCTTTCCTTCAGGAGTTAGGTGACTTTCTATCCTCAACTGTGAAGCTGTCCAGACTGGTGATTGTTGGTAATTTTAACATTCATTTTGATGACCCCTCGGACCATTTTGCATGAGCTTCTCCAGCCTTATGGGCTCTTTCAGCTTTACCCAGCATGTTTCTGGCTCCAAACACACCAGGGGGCACACTCTAGACCGTGTTTTTACCCTGAGTCTAAATGCTGACAGTGTTTGTCCCGAGGACGTATATATTTCAGATCACCATTGCATTTTCTTTAACTTGTCAGTTTCTGCGTCCCCACTTCCTGCTCGCTGTATGGTTAGTTCTCGTTTTCTTAATGAGAGCACAGCTAGCAATTTTTCTGCTGCTTTTAATCCACCCTGTTCTTCTGATAACGACCCAGAGTCCTTAACTTCTCAGTTTAAAAAGCACTGCCTCTCCATTCTGGACAATATCTGTCCTGTCAGAACCAGATCAGTTCCTGCAGTGAACCCCACTCCCTGGTTTAATGACAGCCTTCGCAGCCTAAAGTGTCAATGCAGAAAAATTGAGCGCTTGTGGAAGAAAACCCATCTCCACATCTATCTGCTGCACCTAAAGGATCTTCTGACATCCTTTAACTCTGCAGTCAGAGACGCGAGGGTTTCCTATTTTTCCAACCTGGTGTCCCAGAGCAAAATGAACCCCAAGGTGCTGTTTAACACCATCAGCAGCATCGTGTCTCCTGCCTCTCCTACAGCCTCCATCCACTCTGTTACAGACTGTGAGAACTTTCTGTCTTTCTTTGTGGACAAAGTCAATAAGGTCAGATCTAGCATCTCTCCTTCAGCCTCATCGCTGCCTCTCCCGACTCCAACCAGGCCCATCATCCTAGATAGCTTTGCTCCTGTTTCTTTGCCTGAGTTAACCAAACTAGTTAACTCTATGAAGACCTCTGCATGCCCCCTCGACATCTTTCCCTCATCTTTGTTTAAAAGTGCTTTTCAGTCCATCGGTCCCAGCGTGCTCTCTATAGTTAATGCTTCTCTGGTTTCTGGTCAGGTCCCTGCTTACTTTAAGAACGCTGTAATCCACCCGCTTCTTAACCCTTTGATGCATGAATTATGAAATCTTCAACCATGATTTTTTTAACAATTTGTCATTTGTCTTTAGGTGTGAATTAAACAAATTTCAACAAATATTTTTTGTAAAATTTTATAATTTACAAATTATTTATTACATGTCCACCTCAGTGGACAGCATACATTCTGAACATGACATAAGCTGGCTTGACTCACTGAAGTCCAAATGGAGGGGGCTCAAATGCAATAAAGTCTCCAACAGCTGTGCTTAATAGCAAAAACAAATAAATAACAATTTTGAGTACCTGTCCACTGTAGTGACCATTATGCACCAAAGGGTTAAAAAGCCGAGTCTTGACCCCTCTCTCCATAGCAGCTTCAGACCCATCTCTAAACTTCCATTCACCTCCAAGATCTTGGAAAAGGTTGTGGCTAAACAACTCACAGCTGCTGTTGATGAACATAACATCTATGATAGCTTCCAGTCAGGTTTTCGCAGAGCTCATTCTACTGAAACAGCTCTTCTTAGGGTCTCTAATGACCTTCTGACTCACAGTGATGCAGGGGACTGTTCTGTTCTGGTCCTGCTGGACCTGACTGCAGCCGTTGACACTGTTGACCATTACTTGCTACTGGAGAGGCTGAGAGACTGGGTAGGCCAATCCGGATCTGCTCTGGAGTGGTTCTCCTCTTATATGTCTGAGCGTTTGTTTTCTGTGGCCGTCTCCAAGTTTAGGTCCTCCACCACCTCTCTTACCCATGGTGTCCCACAAGGTTCTGTGTTGGGGCCTCTGCTCTTCCTCCTCTATCTGCTTCCTCTTCAGCACATACTGAGCTCCTTTAAAGGAATCTCCTACCATCTTTATGCAGATGACATCCAACTGTACATCTCCTTTAAGCCCCATGAGATGTCTAAGCTGCAGCTGTTACACACCTGCTTAGACTCTATCAAAACCTGGATGGTGGGAGCTTTCTACAGCTGAATGAAGATAAGACCTAGATCTTCATCTGTGCCCCAGACAAGCTGGTTCCCAAAGTCAGAGACTCTCTTGGTCAGCTTGCTTCCCACACCAAACCTTCTGTCAGGAATCTTGGCATGACCTTTGACCCAGCTCTCACCCTGGATTCTCATGTCAGTTCTCTTGTTCGCTCTTCCTTCTTCCATCTCAGGAACATTGCTAAGCTGAGTCCCATTCTGTCCCGCTGTGAACTTGAGACAGTTCTCCACACCTTCATCTCCTCACGCTTAGACTACTGTAACTCTCTTTTCACGTGTCTGAGCAGAACCTCCCTGAACCGTCTACAGGTGGTTCAGAATGCCTGTGCTCGGCTTCTGACCAAGTCCTCCAAACACACCCACATCACCCCGCTTCTCCTCCAGCTTCACTGGCTGCCAATCAACTTCAGGGTTCATTTCAAGATCCTGGTTCTGGTCTATAGGGCCTTACATGGACAAGCACTATCTTACATTGGTGATCTTCTTAGTCCCTACACCCCCAGCAGGTCCCTGAGGTCCAGTGACCAAAGCCTACTGGTTGTGCAGCACCAGGCTAAAGACCAAAGGTGACAGATCATTTGCTGCTGTGACCCCCAGACTCTGGACCTCTCTCCCCCTGAGCCTGAGATCAGTGGACTCAGTGGTCTCCTTTAAAAAGCAGCTGAAGACTCACTTGTTCAAGCTTTGTCACCCTGTCCTTATTCTGCTCTTTCTATTAATTCTGCCTTTCCCAATATCCACTGATGCCTCCTTCTTATTTTCTCTTTCATCAATTTTTTTAGCACAATTTTTTATTTTTCATATTTTTATATGTTAAAATAATTTTTAAAACTTTATTTTTTGTAAAGTGCCTCATAATTTACATATTGAGAGGCTTTATATAAAATATCGTTATCAACAAATATGCAAAGTCTCACAGTTCAGTGCAACAGTGTGATGTGGGGAAATGTCCATCAGGTTAGTGCCCTCAAACCACATTTATGCAATAGCTGTAGATAAAACCAGCATGACAGAAGGATACTAACAGCAACTGACCTTTTTGCTGCTGATCTTTGTCACAGTGAAGGTTCTCTGAGTGTAGTAGGCGAGGACTTTGGTGCTCTTCACTGACACCAGGAAGCTGCCGTACACCTCCTGCACCTCCACTGGCCAGTACTGATCACACTTTCTCTGAGGGGAACACGCATCACAGATCAGATTCAAAATGACAACTCTGCTTCCTCCAGAACACGTAAACTGGTGAATTTGATGTGAAAACACAAGAACAAAAACACTCCCTCTGCTTAAAATAGACCTTATAGAAAGAACACCACAGCATTAAATAGTCTGTGCTCCATCAGACATCTGAGCGCTCACCCGCCCATTCTCCACCAGGTTGGTGATCATGACAACGACACTGACATTCTGTTCCCAAATCATCCTCCAGAAGTCCTCGATGCTGGACCTCAGGGGCCCCTGAGTGGCGATGTACGACCGAGGCCTCTTAAAACCCTGGGAGACAAAAAGAGCTGCTTCAGTCCGGGGGAGGCTGGACCTCTGATGGATTACTGAGTGTTGTCCTGAGTTCTGGTCATCCTGAAGGAGCTCATATGCATCAAAAGCTATTTGATTCATGTTTTATTTATTTAGCTACCCAAAAGCAGGCCTCAAGGTCACGTCTAGGTTACAACAGCCTCTTACATCCACATAATTAGCGTTGATGTAATCGCCCGTCTTCACGTCTTTGAAGGCCTGTGATGAAAGTCGAACGCGGCTGTGGTCAACTGAGGAAGAGAAAATGAGAACAGACCAACATGAGACCAGGCTGCTCTGAATGCCTAACAGATTCTCCACAGGCATGATCTGACCAAAGCAATGTTCTCTAGGACCTTCAGTGTGTTCTAGCTCTGGAAGAGGATCAACAGCACCTCAGCTAGGAGGGTGGAACCTAAACGACGGAACCTTTCAGAGGCGGTGACAGCGAGCTACCATTTCAGATTTATTCTTGGTATTTTAGGGTTACTAAACCGGGAGCAACACAACAGCTGAGGACACATCATGACATCATGCAGACGTCTCGTTATCCTAATTTAGACCTAAAGTAAGCTGCGCTGGGCTGAGTGTTGTCCTGTAACTTCATGTGAAAGTGTGTTAATCTCCAGCACTAACTGAAGTTGTTCCAATCCCAGGGTGTTTTTCTGGTTTACAACAAAACGATTCTTCTGTTGTCAAAAGGTAAAGTTAAAATCCCACAAGTTGTCACACGGATGTGTTAAATTAGCTCTCCGTATTTGACCAATCCCCTGGCAGCGGTGAGCTGCAGACGCAGTCAGAGAAAACCAAGCGATCAGATATGGATGCCAGCCCTGTTCAGGTAAAAGAAATCCACAAATAAGTTACATAAACTTTATTTTTGAATAGTTTAAATAATTATAAGACACATTTGAATAATCTAGCTAATTTTAGAACATTATCTCACTGTAGAATAATCCAGATTATGTTTCCTTTATAAAACAATATAGTACATTTTTATAACAACAGATTACTGTAGAGTATTTTTGAAAGATATTGAACAATAGATACCATCACTGACCAAACATACCTGTAAATTATTAGAATATTTTAGAATATAGTATATTTGAGGATCTGCCTCAGTGTCCTCTTCCTCCTCTTCATCAGTACTGACGGGGAGATTGGCTGGCACAATAAATGTCCTCTTCCGTTTTTCAAAGAAATTTTAGTTTAAAACTGCAAAATATTCTCATTATTGTAATTGTATTATTACTCTTGCCATGATTACAAAGATTATGTCTAAAAACAACAGATTTGACCTAAAAATATACATAATTTATTTTACTTGTATGATCAAATACGGCAACTTTTATATTCACATACACTACCGGTCAAAAGTTTTAGAACACCCCAAATTTTCCAGTTTTTTATTGGAAATGATGCAGTTTAATGTCACATTGCACTCTGAAATGAAACCATGGTACAAATAAGCAATTGGACTTAAAAAGAAATCATGAATTCAATTAATAAACCAAAATGTGTTCTAAACTTTTGACTCAAAGTAGCCACCTTTGGCAGATACAACAGCTGAGCACACTCGTGGCATTCTTTCTACTACAGAAATCAAATGTTCTTCAGAAAGTTCTTCCATATCTGTTGCAGAAGTTCCCATAAAGGTGTGGCACTTTGCTTTGCTTTCACTCTTCTGTCCAGTTCATCCCAAACCTGCTCGATGGGGTTTAAGTCTGGAGACTGTGCTGACCACTCCATGTTTTCAAGCTTACCATCTTGTTCTTTTTCCCTGAGGTAGTTCTGCCATAGCTTGGACTTATGTTTGGGGTCATTATCTTGCTGTGGGATGAACCCCTAACCAACTAGGTGCATACCAGAGGGTACTGCATCACACTGGAGAATGCTGTGGTAGCTGCCTTGGTTCAGGGTGCCTCTCACTCTGTACAAGTCACCAACCCTGGATCCAGCAAAACAGCCCCAGACCATCACACTTCCTCCTCCATGTTTGACAGTTGATGCAACAAACTGTGGAATCGTCCTTTCACCTACTCAATGGTGTACAAAAATCCTGCATGATGAACCGAAGATTTCAAATTTGGATACATCAGTACATAATACCTTCTTCCAGTCTTCAGTCGTCCAATGGCAGTGTTTCATGGCCCAGGCAAGCCTCTTTCTCTTATTCTGATGTCTTAGCAGTGGCTTTTTTGCTGCAACTCGTCCTGTTAAACCTGCAGCTCAAAGTCTTCACAGTTGAAACTGAGACTTGCTTACTACGGCCACTATTAAGCTGTGCTTGAAGCTGCTGTCCTGTGAGCCGCCTATCACTCAAGCTGCTAACTCTCAGAAACTTGTCTGATGCAGTTGTGGCTTTGGGTCTGCCAGACCTCTTCCTGTCAGAGTTTGCCCCAGAGTTCCTTTAGATGGTGAAGGAAACTGTACTCACTGACACCTTGACTTTCTTTGTAATTTCTCTGTAGGAAAGATCTACATTTTTAAGTGTTATGATGGTCTGTCTCTCTTCCATTGTTCATTGCCTTTTTCTCACCATTTTTGTAGCAACACACTATTATCTGCAGTATCATACTGTTCAACTGATGCTCGTGATCGTACTACAGTATGTTCCAACACTGCTTTTATGCAGACAGAGGGGGTTTTAAGTACTTTAGAAAAGTTGGAGCACCTGTGGGAATTAGCAGCACCAGCTTTCAAGGCCTGATCAACCTCCATTGCTGCAGGACAGCTGTGTTGCCTGAAAAAGGCCTTTTTGTATAATTCTGAAAGGTGCATTATTTTTCAGTTTTGAGTAAACTTACCTTTTTTTTGAACCTCTGGCAGTTCACCAGTTAAACTTTGTACCATTTCAAGGTAGTCATTGGACTTGAATGACTTAAACTGCAATAAATAACTGGAAAATTGGGGCGTTCAAAAACTATTGACTATTGGTGTATAATTTCACCAACTTCATTATGTTTAATATTACAACACATACATCCTTATTTAGCTCAACTAGTCAGCCTTGTGATGTGAGAGTGTCCTTAAACCTAGCATCATTAGTTTTAGAGATCTGACCGTAAACATGAGAGGAGACCGAGCTGCAGGACGGCACTTTTCCCGTTTTTCAGACACACCAGTGTTTGGTGCATCACAGCTCTGCGCTGACACTTTGATGCCCTTAATGGATGTATGACATCACTCCTACATCACTGGATAGAATGAAAATGTTGGTGGTCTAGGACTGAAACTAGAATAGCGATTATATTTTGAGCTGAAGCAGTTGGGTTCATTTACACAGCTGTTTGGATTACGTTATTTTAAACTGGTTCTGTTTCTGGACGTTCCTTCTGAGAGTGTAAACGTGTTCCAAGCAGTCTAAAGGCTAGAACATCTCTAGATGACTACAGCCATGACACAGATGGGTACTCACAGGCCAGGATGTTGCTGTATCTGTTCTTGGTCTTGTTATCAGGATGTCTGGAGCTGTCCGTAGTCAGCTCCATGTCCACGGTGCATGAATGCACCTCCTGAAAACAAAACCATACAGCTAATTATAAATTAAACCATGAGCTGAAACTACAGAAAGAGCAAGTTTCTAAGGAACTCCTTTAATCCCATTTGGGGTTTTATTTTTTGTGGTTGATGCTGGAGGTCACTCTAACGCAGCCATGCATTTTAGACATGAACACACACCTTTGGGGGTGCTGGGGACATACCAGCAGAGGTAAGGCACAGCTGGGTTTACCTGATGTAAATAAGCTCGCTGTTCCACACTGGAATTCATTATTGTTTGTTTTTTGCAACAGATGTTAGACACGGTCCACGAGCCTTAGGCTTGACTTGTTTGGGCCAAATGGTCCTAAACAATTAAATTCCTCTTTATTACTTCATTGCTCCATGAAATTGGTACTGTTATCTAAGAGCAGCAACATAGAAACATGATTAAGGTGTCATGTAAAGATGCAAAAACAGAAACACAAATAAGCAAATTCAGAGTCCAGTCCAGAGTTTTCTTATTTTCTACCATCAGTCACAACCACAGCTACATTTACTGAGAGAGGTGTAAGCCCTCGGGATGACACTTACCTTGTAACTCTCCTTTAGCGTCTAAAGACAAAGACGAGAAAGCAGCAGGCAGCAAGCATGTTACCATGGAAACAGACAAAGAAACAATACAATAACTCCACAGACAACTGAAAACAACTCACACAAAGTGACCCAAACCTAAATGAACGTATTAATGTTACATCTCAGCAAAAACAGAGAAAACCAATGGTGACAAACCACAACAAGAAGCAACAGTTTCAGTTTGTAAACAGAATTGTTCCATTTTCATAGACAGCAGGTCCAGGAGGCAAACCCAGTGTGAGAAGTTTCCAACTCCAGGGGAATCCCAGACGTACGTGTGTGTGTGTGTGTGTGTGTGTGTGTGTGTGTGTGTGTGTGTGTGTGTGTGTGTGTGTGTGTGTGTGTGTGTGTGTGTGTGGTGGTGGTGGTGGTGGGGGGGGGGTCCTCATACCTCAAATTCTCGCTGGAAGCCCTGGGTGCTGTGCAGCTCAGCGACGTGTTTGACGAAATCCTTCAAAGAAAAAGCCGTTTCCTCATCTGGAAGATTGAAACACAGATTACAGAAAAGTGGATCGTAGCAGGATCCTCCAAGGCAGAGAAGAAGAAAACTAAAGGTAACATTCCTTTAAACTACAACAGATCTGTGATACACACATGCTGAAGGTCTTTGCACAAAATCACTCTCACACAGATGTTCACACACAGACCACTCACTACAGAAGTCTTCAGTAAAATAAAAACCTGTTACTCTTGATGCCATTGAGAGTATTTATAATCATCCATGTAGAGGTAAATATACATTCTGCTATTTTGTCTGTGGGAGCTTAAATTCTGACTCGCTCAATGTTTCTTTTTCAGCAAATCTGTTTTCCTGAAAGATAATTTCTTTGTGCTAGTTTGTCCATGTGTAACTGAGGAGGACCACAGAGAGAACAGTGAGTCGGAATGTGGATGACTGAGGTAAAAATGGCTGAATCCTACTCAGTGGTTTTGCATCATTTTCCACCAGATTTCACACTCATCCTTAAGTTGTCTCACATTGCTCATCAGACGCGGTGGTTCCACAGATGAATAGACCACACAAGGCCATTCTGATGCATCAAGCACACTGATGGTTTAGTTCGTAACGAGAGTTGTGAATGCACCATCCAACATTTGGATGAATTTGTGATCAGCCACTTTGAGCAAAGATAAAGTTCAGACTTTTGTCTTTTTTGATGGTGGCAATCATATTCGTAATGCTGGCACATCCTTGGCCGTAAGTTTATGGATTTGACTTCTCTGTCTGTGTAACCGGATTATCCCACACTCAGCCTCTCAGACTTCCCAGCATGGAAGGGAAACCTTTTATTTTATGGACACTGAGACCCAGAACACCGTCTACATCTCCATCCGACAGATCTAATTAACTTCATCGATTGATCCACTGTGTGGACTGAACCATTTTACACTCACAGGAATCTAAATACTGTAAAACACACAATTCACCCAAACAAATACAAAATGATTTAAAATATTACTAACATGTACAACTCACCCCACATTCAAAATGACCAGAAATCAGAAATAGAATGATTATGAATAACTAGCACCCTCTCCCCCTACTCATACTTCACTCTCCAACTGAAACTGATAAATAACTCGCTGGGACCCAGAACACGATTTGACTCACTCACAACACCGAAACCCAGAACTCATTACCGTTTTGCCAATTAATTAACTGAGCTTATGATAATAGGACACCTGGCATCTGTTTCTGTCTCACACTGCAGGTGAACACTGGTATGACCCCAACAGAACAACACAATCCATGGAAATGGTTGTGCGCTGTCCTTGGTGCTGAAACTGGAGCGCCTATCCTAAAGGCATGTCTGCATTGTTGTTTAGTTTTAAAGCTCAACATGGTGTGCTATAGAGTTTAGGAGTTGACATCATCATGCAATGTGTTATGGGAGTGCTGCACCATTTTTAATGTCCACTAAAGACAATAACAAACTGAACAACGGCTTAAAGGCAGCTCATAAGAATAAGGACGATATTAAAACAGAATCAAAGAAACAATACCCAGAAAAATATTGAGTGTCTGATAAATGTGAACAATAAGTAGAAGTAAGTCTCAGCAATGGAGCAGAGACCCTGGAGAACTACTGCCGTTCGTCCTATGGGCTACTTCTGTACAGAAAACTGCTTTTCTCTTCTCTGTTTATGAAGAAAATGAAAATGATTGTGTGTGTGTGTGTGTGTGTGTGTGTGTGTGTGTGTGTGTGTGTCTTTGTCTGCCTGCTCTGTCTTCTCGATCCCCAGTGAGTCGTGGTGGATGGCTGCTTATACTGAGCCAGGATTCTCTGGAGGTTTCTTCCTGTTAAAAGGGAGTTTTCCTCTCCACTGTCGCTGCATGCTTGCTTAGTATGAGGATTGCTGTATAGTCACTGACACTAGTCAGTGACTTGATGCAATTTGCTGGGTTCCTTATATAGGAAACATTATTTCTGATTGGCTTAATGAACTGTGAATTGGAATGTTTATTATGTGAAGTGCCTTGAGACGACTCTTGTCGTGATTTGGCGCTATATAAATAAACTTGAATTGAATTGAATTGAAGAAAATGCACAAAACCACCTGGAAATGTAAGCTAACTTCACCCGGTCTGAAGAGGAAATCAGTGACACACACACACACACACACACACACACACACACACACACACACACACACACACACACACACACATACACACACACACACACACACACACACACACACACACACACACACACACACACACACACACACACACACACACACACACACACACACACACACACACACACATACACACCACCTGTTTATGCTGGAGGAGCAGCAGCTCTACTCTGAGCATCTCCAGGATATTGGAGCTCCTTGCTTTGAACATACCAATCAGGGGATAGATGGGAGTGGCCAGCAATAGTTTGTTCCCTTAAAGTGACGCAACCCTGAAGTGCTGAAAGGTTCTGAAAATGTCAAGAATTAAACTGTGAAAATCACTTTACGTCCAAGTGATATTAGAGTAAAGAACTTCGTAAACATGTTTTGTATCAACCATGGAACTTTTATAACTAAAAGCTATCATAAGAACTCCCTTTTATTAGAATTTGACTACAGCCATGTTCAGAGCTTGAGAGAATACCACAAGTGTTGGTTTTAACAAAGTCTGCACCTTCAGTGTTTTAGATCTTTTTGTCAGATGTTTCTATGGTTACTGCAAGAGAATCAAAGACATTTCATAACCATGAAAGGCTCTATTGATGATCATGTAAAGTATTTTTTTTTAAAAGTCAGCATTTGCAGTTCATCACTAAACGATTTTTCTGTGGTTGGAAGAGGTTCTCTAGGAGGATGTTTAGGAACTATTCCCTGTCTAAGGTTGCAGGCCGTGTGTGTGTGTGTGTGTGTGTGTGTGTGTGTGTGTGTGTGTGTGTGTGTGCTTGTGTTACCAGCTGTGGACTGGGCAGTGATGACTCCAGCAGAGGGAACGTTGTTGATGTAAAAGTGAGCCGTCTGGAAGCACATCCTGCACACAAATTAATGTAAGGAAATAATTTAAGCAAGTTAATTCGTGTTAGTAAATGCCGAGCAGAGACAGATGTTTTCTCCACATCTGTTTATGTTTGAGCTCTGACAAACAAAAAGCCACCATGTGCTTGCCCTAAAACAAAAGACCTGCAAGGAAACAAATAAGTAGTGAATCTGAGAGGCAGAAGATGCTTTTGTTTTGATGCGGTTCGGCTGATTTAGGCAACAACATGGTAATCTTCACATAAACACAGGGGAAAGATGTTCTGCTAATCCCTGACATGTTTTTAAAAGGATGAGACTGCCGCTGATGAACCTGTGTTGTTGTGGCCAGAAATGGACATCGCAGATTATCAGCATGCCAAAAGGAGGCTGAGCTCTGAGATTACAGGCTGATATGTTCAGAGAAACACAAACATGGTCACAGTGAGGTCCACAGGTCTGTGTGTTCGGCCCACACCGAAGGAATTTTCAACAGTCAAACAGTTTTCTAGGCATGAGAGACCGCCCACGTGGCGATGAATAAACCACAGATATATGAGTTTTGCTCCTACGGTGTGTGGTGTGCCGTCACATGGCAAAAAGCACACACCACCCGATTTCACACACTACATTCTCCAGTCAGGCAGGATGTCTTGTGAGTAAATAAACATGGTGGTGAAGGAGCACGTTGCATGCTCCATCACCTTGCTTCCTGTTAAGCTAGAAGACACATGCAAGAGGCCGCATGCACGTCTGTCCTCGGAAATCCTACCAGTTCAATCCAACATGTTAGAAAGCTCAGCTTCATGATTGGAGCATTCTCAATGTGCTTCTGAGCAGACCAGAGTGTTGTTAATACACCACACACAGGAGGAATATCTGATAAGATTATCTATAGAGCTGTTAGGGGGGGAAGGGTCAAAAATCTTGATTTTCCTGCCATGGGAATGGGGCCCAAGTGGATCTTTTTGTAGAGGGCCATAATCAGAAGTGAAATGTGTGCAACAAAGTCTTCATGTTACAGTTTCTCATTATTTTGGATTCAGACTTGCTCGTGTAAATGACAACAGGTTGAGGTTATTTCTCATTCAGTTTAACATCAGAGATAGAGACATCAACAAGTCATCTCCATGGTTTTCTTCAGCTTAACACGGCATGGAGATGACTTGTTGATGCCACATGTCCCATCTCTGAAAACCAGACCAAGAGCACAATGGTTGGAAAAACATTAGCAGCCAATGGATGCAGCTGGAATGGTCACTCTCCTACATGTTTGGGCTAAATGAGCATTGTGTGTTTGCGGAGACTTAAATGGACTACGTAAAGACTCCAGACATGACCTCACGCAGCGACATCACACACACGTGGTTGTTTGTCACTTTACCACTTTTCAGATTGATCATTTTCACACCTCTTAGTTCTGTTCAGAGTAAAGAAACTTTAGCAGGTGAAGGCTGTGGGTGTTTGATTCACTAAAATAAAACCCAAAATACCAGAGCTTGGGAATTACATCTATTATATGCTGTTTCCACTTGTTTAACACAATAACATGATTCTGGCAACATGACTGGAGGTGGAAAGAGCAAAACCATGTTTGCAACAAGCCAAGTGTGTGAAATGGCACCACCTACAGCTCGTGTGAAATCAGCGGTGATGGAAACGTTGATAAAACTCCATGAATCACCTTGTTGCTGTGAAAATAGACACAGAGTCCCTTGAGTCCTGATTACTGGGTCAATAAGACAACACATTAAGATGGGTTTCCTGTCCCAGTGAAAAATGTTCTGTTGCTGTTAACAACATGCTAAAGCAGTGGCCCTTGGCATCCAAAATAATATCATCGGATTTCTTTTTAAAGCTGTGAAGGTTACCAGCAGCTCGTGTGTAGTGATCTTCCTCTGGCAGCGCTTGCGTTCAGTTGAAGAGCTACTTCAGGAACACAACTAAACATTCCATTTTTTATGGATTTTTTTATTTTTATTTTTGAAGAACAGAGTCAAGTGAAGTCTAATGAATCTGCCTGACCTCAAATGCACAGCCAGTGTCTGAACGAGCCAGAGAATGAAAAGGGACACAACAGGATTAGTGCAGGTTGGCCCTCTGCCTCTTGCCCTACAAGACACAACACGATTCCTTCTGTCCAAAATAATCCAGCAAACCCTCTGGGCACACTCCACTGAGTAGATGCTCAAATTGCGGTAGCTGAGGTACATCCATCACTGTGGATTAATGCCCCTGCTTCTCAGATTATTACCATCTTAACACAGCTCAATCCCATGCATACAACAACAAGCAGATGCAAAACAAGAAGAACAAGTAAAATCTGGGCTGGCAGAGCCGAAATGTACAGTCTTAGAAAAGCATTACCGAGCGTGCTAAACACAGCAGGACTGCATGTCTTTGATTGGATTTCTGTATTTGCACTGAGCTAAACTAAACCAGTACCAATACTGAACCAGTACTGCACCAGTATCAGCCTGTCAGAGGCTTTATGTGTTCAGCTAGGATGTCCCAACATGCAGGATTTACAGTGTAAATGATCAACATGACTCAATTTTCCTGGAGTGGCTAAAGCTGCAGAATTATTTTTAGAGTTATTTCTGTTAGTAATTAGAGTTAATTTTATTGCTAAAATATTATTTCAAACATAAATGTAATCATTACTGAAAAGCCTTCAACTTTAACTCCTTTTAAAACATTTTTAATAATCTAAAGCAAAACTTAAACGTTTTTCATTCACCAAATTTAAAACAACAAATTGCTGGTGAAAAACACAATGATAAATATGGAAAAAATAACTCTTAAAACATGAAAATAAATAGGCATGAAAGACCACACAGCTTCGGTCCTACAGTGTGTGTGTCCGGCCAAAAACCAGAACGATCATCCCGCTGTGTGTTCTCGCTGCAGTGTGAGGTCTTCACTATCACAAAGCATCCACTTGATTCAGGCTGCAGATGTTTGCTGGTTTTAATTAGAACATGCCTGATGGTGCAGCTCCTGGACTGGCTGCAACAGCGACTCGCTGCTGCCCCCTGGTGGCGAGGAGAAGCAACACACCAACCAGTACACGTCTCACCCCATTAAAATCATGACCATAATGCACCAGATTGTTAGCCTAGTGAACTAGACCAAATTCTTGCTTTGCAAAGAATGGTCTAGGCACGCTCCATTGGAACCTCAGCAGCTCCTACCAGGACTCTGGCTAGCCAATCACAGCTCTCTAGAGGGGTTTCAAACACATAAAGAGCTGTGATTGGTCCATAATGGTGGGCCAATCATAGTGCTCTATCTGCTTAGTGAACAAATCACAGAGCTTTATCGCTTTGTGGGCCAATCAGGGCACTCTATATGCCTGGTGGGTGGGATGATGCAACAGAGTGAAACAAGAGTATGTCACATTCATTGTCCAGTGGAATGTGGAGATCATTTGAAAGACAACGGTAGAACCCGCCCCACAACCAAGAGCCGTCAATGGAGCGTGGCCAGACTAAATAATACATTTATTTAGTCTGGCTTGCCAGGCTACCAGATTGTTCAAGTTCAGTAGTTTTAATTTCTGCCTGTTTAGGACATTTTAATCAGACTTACAGGTGAAACTGGAACAATTAGAATCTGGTGCAAACGTTCATTTACGTCAGAAATTCAACTTAAAAGGTGAAACTAATAAATGAAATTGACTCGTTCCATGAAAGTCCAGATAATTCAGCCTCTATTTGTTACAACTCTGATGACTGTGACTTACAGTTAAAGAAACCCCCACATTTAATTAGAATATTGTGAAAAAGTTCAATATTCTAGACCAAAAGTGTCACGCTCTAACCAGCTAATGAAGCCTGAACACCTGCAGAGGTTCCTGAGCCTTTAGATGGTCTCTCAGTCTGAGCTGGATCACTGACATAAATGGACTTGCCCCAGATTCTCATTTTTTGAGTTTCACCTGTAATGATGTAAAAATGCTCTATCGAGCTGTGAACATGACATTTAAAAGGTTCAAGTTCTTGGCTCAAGGGCACTAAACCACCCGCACATAGACTGGATTTAGAATTGTGTCTCTGCAGCTACAGCAGGTGTAAAACATCCCGCCTGATCGTCTCTTTCACGCAGAGTTAAAAGGTCACAGCAGTACTGACCTCCAGTAGACAAGAATGCCGATGAGGACCAGCAGGCCCAGCAGGGTGAAGGTGGAGATGACCGCCAGAGGAAGAACAACCTTCTTCTCTCTTTCCATGACTGAGCCGACCCTCGACTCATGGCTGCTGTTACTGGCATCTGCAGAAAGTCAATAAAGGAGGTGGAGGTGAAAAATGCATTTCACCTGACCTACAATCCCATTCCAGATGTGATCCCATCTGGAATGTGAACCCTTCCAGCCTCTCATTCATGTTTCAGCTAAACTAGATACCTTGGACTGTATTTTCTTTCAAGCAGAACGCTGCATCTGTCTACAGCTCACCTCTCTTTCAGCAGCTTCTCCTCTACTTTAGGTAAACGTCAAAAAATCACGGGCGTTTCCTCTAAAACACAACAAAATAATCTCCAACTGTCCACAAACACAGTCTGGGATTAAAACAGCTACACTACATTGTACATTAGAAAAGCAACAAAACACCAGAACAACTAGTCTAACTAACAAATCCATCATGGTTATCTCAGAGCGTGTTCCTCCAAATATATGAGATGGTCTGGATGAGCATATGTAAAACAACCAACCTCCAGGACGGCTTGGCTCGCGTGCCAACAGTTTTCACTCCTTACTTTGACAAGAGGCCATTCTCTATGTGACCTACATGTTTCCTACAAACAGATTATTTGGACGACTGTAGAAGTTATTTTTTAAATGTGTGTAAAGAGCTCAAGACGCCAGATCTACCAGCTGTTTCCCTGCAGAAGTTTCATGATGATTAAAGCCAGAGCTGATCCCTTCAGCCGTCTCTGCTATAGCAGCCATTAAAACCAGAGGTGATGGATCCGCTCGCTGCTACTGAATCACCCCAAACTACTGAAACACATGACCAGCACAAGCAAACCCAAGCCAGCTCAAACCAGAACCCTTCATCAGACCCAAAAGGACGGTGGACCTGAGCTCCAATACTGCAACACCTGAAGAGGCTGTTAATAAACCGAATACGTATTAAACGGTGAGTTTCCTGTATTTGTAAAGTTCTAACAAACTGCACATTATAATTCCTGCGCTGATCAAAGATAATATAAATAAATATAAATGTTCCCATTGATCCACTCATCTTTATGGCTTTTACTGCTTTTTAAGTTTGCGTTAAGGCTCCGTTTATGATGGGTAAGAGGCTTGTTTACATGTTGATGCATTTTATTTCTTGGTAGCACAAGAGGAATCTCAGGGGATTGCTAACACTCACAGAGACCTCAAAGCCACCTTCCAAAGGTAGGAGAGAAAGGTTTATGATTTATTTTATTATTATTTAACTGTATGACTGCTATGGTCTGTTTGATATGCATTTATGGATTCATGGACCTTCACAATGATACTTCAATTTTTAATTCATTCCAAGAAAAAAAGAAGACCTCGGGGGACATGTCTTCAAAAACAGTCCAGTGTTAGGACAGATGAGACTTTAAACAACTATGTCGCCCTCTGGTGGCCATGCTAGGTACTAATCAGCAACATTATTATTATTATTATTATTATTATTATTGTAGAGAAGATGTCCTTACATTTAATTAGAAACCACATAATGTGAAATATCACCTTAATGGATCTTTGAATAAATTTAACCAGAAGATCGGATCTTTTTATTGCAGGGATTGAGCAAACGTCGTATCAACTCCAAGAAAGAGAGAGAGATCCGATCTTCTGGTATTATTATTATTATTATCAACAACAATAATAATAATAATAATAATTTCTGACCGCCTGTATTGTTGATCACACACTGATTTGTGACTCATTTTTACAAGGCTTATTTGAAACTAACCGGTCCTGTCTCACTGCAGATGAAATACAGGAGGTAGTCATGGTAACATGACTAGGTGTGCAACAGCATCTACCAAAAGGTGGATTTTTCTAAAGTCAGATGTGTTTCTGATCACTAAAACTGTGCAAAGTTACGTTGCATCGACACCTTTTCCAGGTCATTTCTGCATGTCCATATTAGGTCACATGAAGGTGCAGACTGTGACACCAAATGTCGTCTTGTTTCTACGTCTTCTGGACGTCCACATGTGGGCTAATCCTGGTCCAAATGAGGTCTTTGTGGACATCCTTCGTCCATCACCCAGACACATTACAGTGATGTCCTTTCCAGGTCATTTCTGCACATCCAGTTTTGGTCCCCTGAAGGTGCAGACTGTGACACCAGATGACATATTTTCATTCATGTCTTCTGGACACCCTATATTGACATCTTCAGGACATCCAGATATGGGCTAATTCTGGTCCAAATTAGGTCACTGGCGACGCCGTTCGGACGTCAACCAGACACGTTGCAGTGATGTCCTTTCCACGTCATTCCTGCACGTTCAGTTTTGGTCAACTGAAGGTGCAGACTGTGGTGCTCATCAGGTCCTCCTCATATGGGCTCTTGTCAAAACAAGGTTGTTCATTCTTGTAACATTTATGCTAATTCTAGACTTTTAGATTTGCTGGAACTACAGCTAGACACAGACAGACAGACAGACAGACAGACAGACAGACAGACAGACAGACAGACAGACAGACAGACAGACAGACAGATAGACAGATAGATAGATAGATAGATAGATAGATAGATAGATAGATAGATAGATAGATAGATAGATAGATAGATAGATAGATAGCCATAGATAGATTCTCTGCATATTTCAGTATATTCACATTATCATCGTGTTTTTTAAATATCATACTAATGATGGTATACAGTTTGTTTTAAAGCCAAGTAACAATATGTTGTGGAAACGACTTTCCTTGGACCATTACTAGCTGCTATCTGTAGGTCTTGGAAATGTCAAAGCTGGAACTTGAAAAAAGACGCCATCTGGTGTCACCGTCTGCACCTTCAGTGAACCAAAGAATGAAGGTGCAGGAATGACCTGAATTTGATGCCATTGTGACGTGTCTGGGTGACTTGAGAAGTATGTCCACAACCGCCTCCTTTGGACCAGCTTTAGCCCATATCTGGACATCATGGAGACATCAATACCAGAGGTCCACAAGGCGCTGATGGAAGACGTCATCTGGCGTCACAGTCTGCACCTTCAGTGGACCAAAACTGGATGTGCAGAAATGACTAGGATATGATGTCCCTATGACGTGTCTTTGAGCAGTGAGCAACAATATTTTTTGTTATATCTCGCACCTGTTGGCCATGACGTCCAACAACGTTACCCAACCCAAGGTCCACGTTTCACGTTATACTGACATCCAAGTTGGGTCATATGTAGACATCTAAATAATGGACCTGGTTTGCACGTCCAGCAGACATCTAGAATTAGACTAGACTGACGGACTCAATATAGACTTGATCTGCACGTGCATGCGACGCTGATTGCTTGGTAGGTTAAAACTGGTCACGTTTATAGAATTAAATATTTAATGTAATGAACAGAAGACCTTTGCCACACCCTTTTACTTTTTAAAGGTGAATTATTGATTGTAAAATTGAAACTATTCCAAACACGGTGAAACCTGCCCAAAACTCTTTAGCACAGCCCTTGCTGATCCTTTGACCTGTTCAGGGGTCCTAAACAGTCCTGCAGGACTCAGGCATGAGTGCTACTGAGACACCATGTGTAGAATGATTGTCATATATTAATTCAACATATTTTAAATGCACCAGATTATGATAACGTCGTAGAAGACAGATCTGATGGAGTCATCCTGAGATGTGGTGGTGCAGAACCCACGGTTAACAATCACTAACTGGTCATGAATGCTACTAAAATAATTAGGTCTGTTGGTAATGTCAGTAGTAACACTTAATCAGTTCATTGTATCTCTCAGAACATAAGGAATGAAGATAAACACAGTCAGATGTTTTCTGGGGTCTGCTGCTCCCTCACATCGGCTGTAGTTATTTTCTTTACCTGCGGCTGGCTCTTCTTCTGTCTGCTCTGAAATACTGAAGTCAGAAGATGTCTCATTGTCGTAGAGGCTCTCTCCCTGCCCTGAGCCACTTTCTTCTGCCCCACCCAGCGACCACGGGGTAGTTGATGTTACCTCAGAAAATGCTGGGGTCCCTACACCTTCTACTTCAGAGATGATGCCACTGCCACTTTCAAAATAAAATGCTGAGGAGTGCTCTTCCACATCATCTGGGCTGTGGCCAGACTCCATGGTAACTTTGGTGGCATTAGGAAGCCCACTCCCCCCAGATGCTGAGGTTTGAACCCTATCCCACTCCTGGTCTATGCTCTCCTGGAGGTCAGAGAAAAGGGTTGAGCCGGAGGTGCTGCTGGCATCTAATGCCTGGCTCTCTGGAGCAGGATCTGGTGGAAGGGCGGTGGGTGAGGAAGGGGGGAGTGTTGTTTGGGAGGTGGTGTTTGTCTCTGATGCTGACAACCCAAAGTCCTGAGCTGCAGACGCTGTGGCTGCAACAGAAATATGCAGGTCACTATTGGTGTCTGGGAGAAGCTGTGGAGAGGAGGGAGAGAACACCAAAGTAGGCGAGCTTAGAAGGTGGTCTATCCCAACACCAGAGGTTGAAAGCAGGCCCACACTAGAGTAAAGTTCTACACTTGAAGAATCCCAGGTTGAAGACGGTGGAGGACTATGAAGAGAGACATGCAACCAAGTTGAGGATGTGGATGGTTCCAGAGAACAGCCACACATGAGGTCCACATCACTAGCTAAAGAAAACCCATCACCAGTGGCCTCAGGGAGCAACACCTCTGTTGTGCCTCCAGTGGCGTACCCCGAGCCCTCAAACCCAGACGATACGGATCTGGATAAGTCTTCAGAAAAGGTGAACTCACTAGAAAAAAGGACTGGAGGCTGAGGGTTGGGGCTGGGAGAGAGGGAGGATGAGAGGGACAAATCCCAGGAAGCACCAGAAAGTTCTGTGGTGGTGCCAGAAAGGACCAGCACTGTTTGGAGGGGAGGGGTACTACTAAACACTGATGACCCAGACCACCAAACACCATCACTACCACCAAGACTGACACTCTGGTAGGTAGAGTCAATCCCCCATACAGACCGGGAGTGTGAGGAGGGGTGAGGAAAGGGAGGCAGCGTGGAGGCAGGGAGGCCAGGGACTGGAGAAGAAAAAGGGTCTTGGCTAGACAGAGGTGGAGTAGCAGCATGCTGGGAGTCCAAAGCAGAGGCAGACAACATCAGCCACTCAGAGGAAGGCTCATGCAAGCTGGTGAAGGGTACAGCACTTGGGTCCGAGGTGGCACACAGAGCAGACGAGGAGAAGGAGGAACAAGAGGGGGAGACAGAATGGAGCTCACCCTTAGACAGTGACCGTGTGGGATGCAAGAGAACATCACCCAGCGGGACCGAGGTCATCGTAGAGGGAAAAGTGGGCGTGCTGGGACTTGTGTCCTCTTTAGCTCCTCCTGAAGAGGGAGTCGGGACAGTGAGTGTTGATGTTCCAAACTCAGAATGTCCTCTGGGTCTAGTGGCGCGCATTCCATCTGCGGTGGTGGCTTTGGTCGAACCTTGTTTGGCCTGGATGAGGGATGGTGATGATGCCGTACTCATGTTTCCAGAGTTGGGCGATGCTATGATCAGGATGGCACCTGTGTCCTCTTGTGATTTTTCAGATGAGCTTGTTGAACGGACGTCTCCATGAACATTGTCTGTTTTTGTAAATAAAGAAGCAGCAGATGTTGAAACAAAGGGTTTAGTTGCTGTTGTGGTGTGAAAAATGCTGTTGATGCCAAATTCAGCAATTCCTCTGGTTTCTGTTAACACCTCCGGTGGCTGTGAGGCACGGCCGTGGAGCGATCGGTCTTTCGACCGGGTCAGTGCTTCACTAGAGTGTGTGGGTTTAAGGTGCTGAACAGGGTCGGTGGTAGAGCTCCTCTGGCTGGACTCTGTTGTAAAGGTTCTGATGGGGGGAAAGGGTAAAAACTGTGATGCGGGAGTTGTGGTCCTCTTAGCGTTGGAACTCCAGTCCAAGTTGTTGTTTATGGTCTCTTCCAGCTCATTCCAGGAGGAATCAGGTTCAAAGGTCTCCTGTTTGTAAAGGAGACGTGTTCAAACAAGCACTCATTTGCTGTGAAGATACAATTATTATTATTGGAAAAATTAAAATGATCTTACCTCTGATGCAAATTCATTTAAATCTGAATCAAGTTCACTTTCTGAAAAGAGAATCAGACGTTTTAAACATCAGTTACACATATTAACAATAAATAAATAAACAAATAAAGGATTTTTTAAAAGAGAAAAACTCAAGTGTGAGAATGTTGTTTCAAAGAAATCAGGAAAAAAGGGAAAAGAGGGAGAAGGCCATGCCGTACCAGTCAGGGAAAAGAAGACACACAATCCCATTTAATCAGGTTCTGGACTAAAACACAGCTAGCTTTTAAACTGAGGTGAATACAGTCTCACATCATATGAAAGGTCAACACCTAAAGCTGCAAGAGCAAATTTGGAAAACAAATTAGCTTAAAACGGGTCGGGTTGGTTCCCAGTGAGAGTTGGACTCCGCCAAGGCTGCCCTTTGTCACCGATTCTGTTCATAACCTTTATGGACAGGATTTCTAGGTGCAGCCAAGGTGTGGAGGGCATCCGTTTTGGCGGCCTGAGGATCAGGTCTCTGCTTTTTGCAGATGATGTGGTCCTGTTGGCTTCATCAGAACATGATCTTCAACTTTCGCTGGAGCGGTTTGCAGCCGAGTGTGAAGCAGCTGGGATGAGAATCAGCTCCTCTAAATCTGAGACCATGGTCTTGATTCGGAAAAGGGTAGAATGCCTTCTCCGGGTCAGGGATGAGGTCCTGCCCCAAGTGGAGGAGTTTAAGTATCTCGGGGTCTTGTTCACGAGTGAGGGAAAACTGGAGCGTGAGATCGATAGGTGGATTGGTGCTGCATCTGCAGTGATGCAGGCGTTGTACCGGCCTGTCGTGGTGAAGAGGGAGCTGAGTCAGAAGGCGAAGCTCTCGATTTACTGGTCGATCTACGTTCCTACCCTCACCTATGGTCATGAGCTTTGGGTAGTGACCAAAAGAACGAGATCACGGATACAAGCGGCCGAAATGAGTTTTCTCCGAAGAATGTCTGGGCTCTCCCTTAGAGACAGGGTGAGAAGCTCGGTCATCCGGGAGGGGCTTGGAGTAGACCCGCTGCTCCTCCACATCGAGCGGAGCCAGTTGAGGTGGCTCAGGCATCTGGTTAGGATGCTTACTGGATGCCTTCCTGGTGAGGTTTTCCAGGCACGTCCAAAACCTCCACCAATAACACCTTTTGGACCGAAACCAACCATTGGACCTTCTGGTTGTTGGTCTCACCGGACTGCTGCACTTCCCTGGGTTCTCCACTTCTCAGAAACTCACTCACCCCCTGGGAGTTCTAACCGAGCCAATCAGCGCTGAGTAGCGTATGTCACACACCACAACTCTGAGTTTTTCTCAAACATGGCGACTGAACCGGAGTTCGCTGCGGCTCTTTCCTCTGTTCTAAATGACTTGAACACGTCTTTAAAACCACCACAAGTAGAAGCGCTAAAAGCCTTTTTTCTAAAAGATGTTTGAGCCGTTGCCAGACGTCTTTCTTTAGTACAGCTAAAAAACTACAGTGTCACGCGGTACAGTCTGCATTTCCGTCTTTTTTCTGATTGGTTACTTTTGAGCTGCCTAGTCCCGCCCCTCGTGTGCCTCTCTGCCTGTGAGTTACCAGACTCTTTGTCTGTGCAGAATTAAACAGAGGACGAGTCTGGCAGGCCAGGCTAGGGGGGAGTGTTCTGTGATCGTGTTTGCGTTGTTCCGCAGGTTTGTTACTGCAGCGTTAACCCTTTGCTTGTGTTTCAATAAATGTTGTAATTTATGAGCATTTTTTCCTCTAGAATATGTTGTTTCTTACTCCACAGCTGCCGTTCAGACACAAAACTCATTTGTATAATTTTCATAAGTTTGAGGTGTTTTTTAAAACCTTGTACCACACACACATGCACGCAGCCGCGGAAGTCTTGGGGGCAGGAGAGGCAGGAGGCCCCATTAATGTCTTTTTTCATGCCTGAGCTCTCAACAAGCCTCCAGTCACTGGGCGGTAGCAATGCTTGAACTAATCTACAGGCTCAACGCAGCTTATAAAGTCAGCCACAACATTGGGCCGAGCTGCTGGAGGAAAATGGAGACACCACAGCAAGCGATGGTGGCTGGCAGAAAGAGAAGAGGAAGTATGACGAGGACAACCACTGATTTATCGTGATGGCGGTTGGAAATGTAGCGGCTGGTGAAGAAAACACAAAAATGTTTATTTTTCCAAGCGGGGACAATACAGAAATAGTTGAGAGCCACCAGAGTTATTGCCACCAGCCCATTGGTTGACCTTCAACAACTAAATAGGAAGTCAAATGCAACCAGACTGGTTCCCCAAAAGGAGGGGCCAGCTGTGTGGATCTTCCACATGCTACTGAGGCTCCTATGAGATATTTATTCCTGATTCCCTGTTAAAGTTTAATCATCCAGTTCACCAGGCCGCTCAGAACAAGAGTCAGCACCAACAGGAGCATTTCACAGGAGATGTTGGCACTTTTGTTAAAGAGAAGCAATCTGCAGATGCACAGTCCCTCAAAGTTAAATCTTATTGTTAACAGGACAAAGAATTAATCAACCACACACACGTTAAGTTTAGTTACAGAGAAATGAACACAAACTGGATGTTAAAAAGTAACCTTTAGCAGCAAACCTCAACTTAGTTAGATCACATGTTGCAGATTCTTGAGGTGCATTAAGCATATAACCTTTTATTTCAACATGTGTTGGATCCAGATGACTGACAAAACTAAATACCAACAGATGCATGCATGACAGCTGAACTCACATCCAACAATCCCCCAAATAACAAAAACACAAAGCTTTGATTAAAATGTGCACCTCCTAACGTTTGTGTCATCCTCACAGTAAAACAAACCAGACAGGGAGAGGGTGCAAACCTAACTTCTACCCAGGTATTACTGAAGACGGGGGAAAGCCTCACAAAAGGCCACGCAAGCTGACTGAGCTCAGATTTACGCACACAAGGGGGTGTGGTCAGGGGTCAGGTGTGCAGGTGGTGGTCTTACCTGTCTTATGCTAAGAGCCCCGTCATGAAGACCAGATCAGACTGGTCCGTGAAGCACGAGGAGAGGGTTTATTGGGGTGTTGGAAGATTGTTTGGGCCTTTAAAGAAACCTGATTCTACCTCATTCTATCAGAAGCCCTGCAGAGCCACATGTGATAAATAATGTTAAATAAAAAGGACCCATCAGATGATTGCACCTTTTCACTATTACTTGTTTCTGATGGTTCTAATAATTAAAATATTAAAAAAATGTCAATAACTTAGCAATTAGCATTTTGTAAACATAAGAAAGCTGAACTATATTAAAGACCAAGTTCACTTGTTTTTCCACTACGTCTGCAGTGGTCTCTAGTACAAATTAATGCCTAGTGAGTGGGGGAAAAGGCTCTGGTGCCCTACTTTCAGGAACTAGAAGTTAGCCAAATTAGAGGTGAGCAGAAGACGGCGCAATCTGGCACAAACGAGATCGCAACAGCTTCACCGCCATATTGGATGGGTTCCTCACTCTCCAAACCTAACTGGAGTCATCGAAGAGTGACCAGTAATGAGCAGTCTACGGCTGCAACAACCAGAGTACTACTGAAAACAGATCACTTGGGATTACTAATGACTTTTCTAGCCTTTCTGATGGGATTTTATATTTTTATTTATTTTACTAAATCATATTTGTATTTTAATTATCATGCCGTGTCTGATTTTGAGAAAAATCACAATAAAACGTATTTTTTGGTTGGGTATGCACCTTCCTCAGTAGCAATTCATGTATTGGAGGTGAATGGAGACCCATCTATGATGGCGGTCAGCCATCCCAGCAGCGCTAGTCCCTGGGCGTCTATGATGTTTGTGGGATCTGATTTTGGGACATCTCGCCTCTGATTGGCTAACAGCAAACCAATACCGGCGAGCCCATGAATGCTAATTTGACATTATGATGTGTTTCCCTGTCGAATCTGTTCACATTCAGTCTGCATGTTGAACTAAGAGCGACTGATCTTAAGTTAAAAATGCTGTTTTCTGTGACGGTGGCACAGGAGTTAAGTGCTCGCCCCGTAATCGGAAGGTTGCAGGTTCGAGCCCTGCTCAGTCTGTCGCTGTCGTGTCCTTGGGCAAGACACTTAACCCACGTTGCCTGCTGGTGGTGGTCGGAGGGACCGGTGGCGCCTGTGCTCGGCAGCCTCGCCTCTGTCAGTGCGCCCCAGGGCAGCTGTGGCTACATCGTAGCTCATCCCCACCAGTTTGTGAATGTGTGTGTGAATGGGTGAATGACTGATTGTGTTGTAAAGCGCCTTGGGGGGTTCCAGGACTCTAGAAGGTGCTATATCAAATACAGGCCATTTACCATTTACCATTTACCATTTTTAAAACAGCAGAAATGGCTGATTCAGAAAAACGTTTGTTTCAAATCAGCTGTGGGGAAGTTATCTGGATGATCTGGGGCAGCAGTCCAGGTCATTGTGCTGTAAGTATGACAAGCATTTATGTCATATAATACAGACTTCAGAATCTTGAACGACAGGCAAAAGGGTTAGCGTTAGGTGCTTTTGAAGTCAATTCCCCACAGCAAGTAAGTAAGGGTAATTTTACATTAGGAGATGTATGTTTATGGTCGCCGGACACCATGATGGGGTCAATAACAATAACAGGAAAATGACACATGTGAGCGCTGCAGTTTGACAGGAGGCAGGACAGTTTTAGTTTAGACTTTTTTTACCAACACATACTGGTTTATTATGAAAATGTTTATTTGAAGCACAAAATCTCTGTCAGCAAACACAAACATTTGTCTGATAGTGAAGAAGGAACAGATAGCATAATGGAAGCTAACGTATCTGTGTTACATTCAAACAGACAGGAACAGAGAGAAGACATGTCAGACTTCAGAATCAGGGAAAAGAGAGAGGCAGTGGATGGATTTTCACATAAAAACAACAGTCACAAACACAGAGTGAAAGAAGGAAAGGAGGGTGAGATAAAAGGAGAAAGACAAAAAGAATTGGTGTCAGGTTTCAGTGGGGAGGTGAGTGGTGAAATACAGCTGTGTGTGTGTAAAAATCGAAACAACCACAAAGGATTTGTTCAATAGTTACAGAATTATTAGTTCAGTAAATGATCTAATCATTTATTATAATAAATACTAGCAGCTTCCCTTTCTCCACACGGACAAAAGCTAAAGTTATCCCTACTGTTCAGATTTTCAAATCGTTTCCAAAATTCAACTGTTGGAATTTTTGAAATCTAGTTTTATTATTATGCTTTTTTTTAATGTACAAAAAAACCTATCAGATGTTAAATAAAAACTAATCAGACATGACACATGAGAAAATAAAATCATTAAATGTATCTGAAGAAAGTAGAATATTTCATCTCGTAATATTAAATCAATTTGCTGCGTCATTTAAATTTAACGGTTTTTATCCAAAAATCTATCCACTGAGCTAAAATAAACAGAAGCTATAGAAATTCCTGCATTATATTCCCGTGGAGAAAAACGTATTGGTTCTCAAATGTTTTTTTTCCCTGAAATGTAAAAAAACTGGCTTTTCAGCTCCGCTGTCATTTAAATTCTATCAAAACAAATATGGTGGCTGAGTGGGAATCATGATCAGCAGCGCTAATTTGCTATACTCTTACCAGCATCAGTTGTTGGCATGACAACAGTCAGGAAGTTGCTAACGTGTCCATAAAGCCCGTTGGTGCAGATGGCCACCACCCGCACCTCATAGGTGGTGTTAGCTAACAGGCCGTCAAGTATCGCCCCCTGGTGGTCATAGAGAAATGAACTTCTAATGATATACTTCAATCAGTGACACTGGCTTAGACAACAATAATTTAGAGTTAAAAACAGTGTCTTGACATGGAGACATCACTTGGCTGTGCACACGTAAGGTTTTTCAGTTTGAACCACCTGACAATAAGTCCCAAGCAGTATGGTGAAATGGTGTGTAGTTGCTCACTCACTGTATCCTGATATCCGTCTGTCAGGTATTCTGACAGGACCAGTTCCTCTGCGCTGGCCATGCGGTAGGTAATGGAGTACCTCTCGATGTTGGCGTCATACACCACCCGCGGTCGCTCCCATGTCACTAGCAGGCTGCTGAGGTTGTAGGCTGCAGCTTGGAGGCTTTCAGGCTCCGAACTGCAAACTGACAGAAGCACACATTCATACTAGATTTTTATTTCATCCACCAGGATCAGAGTCAGAGATACTTTAACGCCTTACGTAATTACCAAGTACACCAAAATTAGTTTCGTCACGTGTTTATACCTCTTGATTGATTTTGTTGAAATTAGATGCATGTAATAACTGTAATTTTTAAATGTTTATTTACTTTTTTCCAATTATCTTTTTATTGGGTTATTTTCAATGTTATTAATCACATACATCACGGAGGAGGCAAGGGGCATCATAAAAAATAAATAAATATATGCGGGGGGGGGGGGGGGGGGGGGTGTGTGAAGTAAATTACATATATATATAAAATGAATATATATGCTCTGCCCTAACAGACTTAGGACACCTTTGCCATATAGTTTGCTTTCACATCTGCTAAAGATCTAGTAAAGGTCCCCATATTTCTTGAAACACGTCTTTTTTGTCTTTTAAAATAAATGCACATTGTTCCAGTCTCAGAGTGTCTTTTAGAGTCTGTAGAAACAAGTTGAGTGATGGAGGTTTTCGATGGTTCCAGCACAGAAGATTACATTTCTTTGCTATGTAGGATATGACATTGATCCTCTTGGGAGTGTGAGGGGTGTAGTTTCTTGTCCAGAACTGCACCGAAGAGGTAGTGTACAGGGTTAATGTCCAGTTTCGGTGATACCACTTTGGCCGTCAGGTCATGTACTGCCCTCCAGAACTGCTTGAGTTTCTTGCATTCCCAGAAGACATGAATAACCGATCCATTGCTGAATCTACAGCGGTGGCATCTTGAAGACATATTGGGGAACATCTTGCTTAACCGAAGCGGTGTGAGATAAGACCTATACATAAACTTATAGTTCTGTTCAATAATTTTGTTACAAGAGAGAGAGGAGACAACATTCTCACAGATCGAATCCCACTGCTCTTCACCAAAGACAACACCCAGGTCTCTCAGCCAAACAGTTTTGAGGGGGGCGAAGGACGAGTTATGTTGCTCCATTAAGGCATTATAGATCCCCGAGATTCTCCCCTTCGACGGCCTGGATCTTACGATAGTTTCCTTTAGAGTCGAGGATTCCATGGACAGGTGACCCTCCTTCGTGAAGGCGTTAATGATGTGGCGAATTTGAAGAAATTTGAAAAAATCTTGCTTTGTAATATTATACTCAGTTCTGAGGTCTGAAAAGAACTTGAGTGTGTTCCGGAAGAACAAGTGTTGAATTTGAGAAATACCTTTATCTCTCCAATCAGCAAACAGGGACATGCCAATATTTGTTGGTAAGTCTACGTTGTGCGTTACAGGGGCAAATCTGGAGATTTTTTTAATCATTCCATTTAATTTATTGGCATCTCGCCATACCAGGAGGGTGTTGTAAACTACATAAGTTTTGGGTATTTGTTGTAGAGCTTCTATGCTGCTAATGAAGGGTAGGCCTGCTAAATGAATGGGATGACTAATGGGCCATTCCCATCTGTACCGGGTCGGCCCGGGCCGGGTAGCGTAGGTTGTTTACATATCTGGGTGGCCTGGTATTTTTCCGGGCCAACCAAGGCTCATTCTCAGCCCTCTTCTCGAGGGGGTCTGCTTCAGGCCGACCAGGGCCAACACACCCACTGCTGACAGCAAATTCACACCTTCCATTAGAGCAAGCCTCTGATTGGTGGGTAGAATCAGCCCACATGGGCTTAAGACAAGGATGTGTGGAATCAACCGGGCCAGGATGGGGCCGACTGGGGCTACCCGGCCCGGGCCGACCCGGTACGGATGGGAATGGCCCGATAGTTCTTCTTCTATGTCCATCCACGTGGTACCTTTTCGCCTCTGTATCCAGTTAGCCAGATTTTTAATCTGAGCGGCCATATAATATCTCTGCAGGTCAGGTAATGCCAATCCACCTTTTGATCTATGCTTGGATAAGGTTTTGTAGGCTATTCTGGGAGCTGAGTTTTTCCATATAAACGCGGTGATATGTTTGAAAAAAGCTTTGAAAAAAGTGTCCATCAAATAGCAAGGGAGAGATTAAAACAAATTGAACCTGGGGATTATGTTCATTTTAATTACATTGATCCGCCCCAGAAACGAGATGGGGAGCATATTCCAGTGGTTTAGATCCTCCTTAATTTTTTGTATCAATGGATCATACTTCAGTTGAGTCAAATCTTTAAGCTTTGGCGACACCGTGATTCCTAAGTATTCAAAGCCATCCTGGGCCCAGGAGAAGGGCACTAGGGTTTTTAAGGCTTCCGTAATAGGAGAGTTTATTATTGCAATTTTTGATTAGGGTAAATTGATTTTATAACCTGATATCACTCCAAATTCTATTAGCAGTTCTAAGATTTTTGGGATGGTGTTTTCAGGGCTGGACAGGTACAGAATTATATCGTCCACATATAATGAAATTTTATTTTCCACTTTTCCGATATTTATACCAGTGATCCCTTTATTATTTCTTACCGTTTCTGCAAATAGTTCTATAGCTAGATTGAATAAAAATTGAGAAAGTGGGCAACCTTGCCGGCATCCTCTGAATAAATCTACTTTGCTGGTGAGGGAGCCGTTTATGCAGATTTGGGTTTGTGGGCAATTATACATATTTTTAATCCATCCGATAAATTTTTCTCCAAGGTTAAATTTTTCTAGGACTGCAAATAAGTATGACCACTCGACACTATCAAAAGCTTTTTCTGCGTCTAGCCACAGGAGCAGAACTGTTTTCTTATGAAGTGTCGAGTGGTCAATTATGTCCAGAAGTCTACGTATATTATGGAATGCATAGCGTCCTTTTACAAAGCCAGTTTGATCTGGGTTAATGATTTTAGGCAACAAAAGTTCCAGCCTACGTGCAATTAGTTTGGATATTATTTTGAAGTCTACTGGGAGTAAAGAGATGGGACGAAATGGGGCACAATCAGAGGGGTCTTTATTTTTCTTATGCACCAGAGTTATAATCGCTGTCCTCATTGACTCTGGAAGGGATTCCCTTACGAAAAAATCAGACAGCATAGGCATGAAAATCAGTTCTATTTGTGGCCAGGATGTTTTATAAAACTGTACGGGGTATCCATCCAGTCCCGCGCATCGATGAGATTGCTTTTAGTACTTCTTCCGGTGTTAATGGGGCTCCCAGCTGTTCTTTTTCAGTCTCTGAAATTATGGGGAGAAAAATCTTTTCTAAAAATGTGTGGATCTCTTCCACAGACGGGTTGTCAAATTTATAGAGCTGAGTGTAAAAATTATGGAAAGAGGATTTAATTGATTTTATATCATATTTAGTTTGACCGCTCGCGTCTCTAACGCTTTTAATTATGTTCTTTGCTCTCTCCTTTCTAAGTTGGTAGGCTAAAAGTCTGCTAAGTTTATTGCCGTATTTGTGATATTGCTGTCTGGTGAAGAATAAGAGTTTTTTAACGTGAGCTATGTGGGCCTCATTAAGAGCCTTTCTAACCGCATTCAATTTCTTCAGATTCTCTTTGGTGGGTGACTGTTTATGTAATTGTTCCAAATTGGCTAGATCTTTTCTCAAATTTTCTATATGTTTTTCTCTAGCTTTTTTATGTTTATTTACTTTTGATAATTATGACACTGTTTATTTTTTGTAATGAATTAATGGGTAGGCTTAAATAAGTTTAACTTCAGCCTACACCTTTTCATTCATAAATTTTATCTAAAGAAACTGTTTAATTTGTAAGAGGAAGTTGTACTTATGATGATTATTATTATGATCTTTATTGGATAATTATTTTCCTTTTCATGTGTTTTATACGTATTGTTATGACGGAAAAAAAAACAAAATAAATAAATAAATAAACAAATAAAGGATCTAGACGAAATGTATGAGATAGATGCCCCAGACAACAAAAGACAAACAAAACTGTGTGTTTTGTTTTTCAAACTGTGTTACTTGGTTACTTGGCAATGAGCTCTGAGGAAGGCTACAGCAACAGCAAAAACAAGGTAAAACAACTCTTTTGCTGTGTTGGAAAAAGAACCAAGTAATGCAAAACAATATGATTTCCTGAATTCTCTTTAAATGTTGCCTTTCACAGTGACAGTGGCAGCCACAATGTGAGTTTCACACCCTTGCAACTTGCAGCTTGCAGGGTGTTCAGATACATAAGTTCCTCAAAATAAAACCACAAAATAAATGGAATATCCATAAAGGTGGCATTTAAACACCTCCTTTCTGTGTTCTTAACAATGGTTCTGGGTCAAAGGTAGGATTAGCAGGAATGCAGACTACAGATACTCTCAGGTCTGGGATTATTACAGATTAGAAAGGATTTGAGGATCAGTCATAACAAACAGCATAAGGAGGCTCATGCTATGCAAACAGTCTCTGCATACCTCAACTCAAAACCCCTCATTGATACAAGTACGTTCACATGTTTAATAATAATAATAATAATAATAATAATAATAATAATTACTATTATTATTATTATTATTATTATTTTACTTTTAAAACCCAGCATCACCTTAGAAGAAACATGATTAAAACTTATAATAAAATAAAACAACGATAAGATCAGCTGTAATAAAAGAGAACAAAACTGATAGACTAGAGAGGTTAAGCCAGTTTGAACAGGTGGGTTTTGAGTTTGGACTTGATTGTCGTTTCTTCAGAAGGAAGAAGAACTTCATGAAGTTTATTCAAAGTGTGTAAGAACATGATCCTAGAGTTCTCTGGAAATTAAGTTTTATCTCTCTCAATCCACCTGTCCATCCATCCATCCATCCATCCGTCCATCCATCTGTTCATCCATCCATCCATCCATCCATCTGTTCATCCATCTGTTCATCCATCCATCCATCCACCTGCCCATCCACCCACCCACCCATCCATCCATCCATCCATCATTTTATCCATCCATCCATCCAGCCAGCCAGCAATCCATCCATCCATCCATCCATACATACATACATACATGCATCCACCTGTCCATCCATCCATCCATCCATCCATCCATCTGTTCATCCATCCATCCATCCATCCATCCATACATGCATCCACCTGTCCATCCATCCATCCATCCATCCATCTGTCCATCCATCCATCCATCCATCCATCCATCCATCCATCCATCCATCCATCCATCCATCCATCCATCCATCCATCCATCCATCTGTTCATCCATCCATCCATCCATCCACCTGTCCATCCATCCATCCATCCATCCATCCATCCACCTGCCCACCCACCCACCCATCCATCCATCCATCCACCTGCCCACCCACCCACCCATCCATCCATCCATCCATCCAAAATGTATTTTTGGTGTTTCCAACACATCCTGTCAAAACAAATGTATTCACTTGTCTAACATATTGCACTAGTTAAAAAGTTCCAAACTGAACAGACAGAAACCGTGTCAGCAAACACAAACCAGGTGTGAGGACTTCCTCGATGCCTGTGTAGGAGGAGAACACCTGGCCCGTGAACTGCTCCTGCTGCTCCCTGTAGTTGTTCTGCAGGTAGTCCATCAGCATCACGTAGCCAGCCTGCTGCATCGTCATCACCTCACAAAACATCTCCAGCTGCAACACAGAAACCAGTCAGCGCAGCTGCAGAGTCACACCAGATAAGTATGATCACAGAGCATCAGGGGCATCAGAGGAAACTGCAATAGTGTTAATAAATGTTCTGGACCCAAAAGACAGTTAGCTCAGGAAGTCAAGGCACTGAAATAGAAATATGCAAATCCAGATTATAAACTTTAACGTCAACCATGTGGTGTCTGCTAATTCTAATGAAAACACATCTGAGCAAAATACAAAAATGTGTTTTCTTGCAACAATCCAGTCTGGACTAATTGTTTCTCCAAAAGGAGATTATTCAGACCTCTTTGATTACCAGGAACCACAACTACACATCTGAACTCCCACTTTAAGAGCTGGCTCAAGCACCAGGCCATAGAAACAGTTTAGTGGGGAAACCACGTCTGCACAAAAAATACGGTTAAGCTTCCGAAGGTTGAAGTGAGAGTAAGTAAAACAGAACCAGGAAACATAAAGCTGAGCCTCTGAGGTGTCTGAGTGTTTGTCCACATCTGGATAAAAACTAAACAACTAGAAGAAGGATGAAATTTTTTTTTTCAGATTGTTTCATTTTGATGGGATTGATGTGCTAACAGCTAGTCTGTTGATGAGGTAATAGAGTAGATTGCTCTAAAGATGTCTCTGGAAGTGGCCCAGGTCAGACAGGAGCTGTTTGTGCTGCATTAAATCTCGAGAACTACTGAAGGTGATGGAAAAGTAAAAACATGTTTTTTTTTAGACCAGGGTCGTTTTAGGAGTTAAAATAACTGGTTTACGCCTCATGTTCCTCAGCAAGAACATTTTACATACATGTTTCTGATTTTGGTGAAAAAATACATATGAATATATTTGCACCAGAATTCTTCTAAAGCATGAAAAACTGACCCGAACACAAATGCAGTTTTAGTTCTGCTCATCCTCCCAAGTCCACACTGCTTCTGCCCAGATGTTTCTAAAACCCTTTACACAGTAATACTTTCTGTGTGGTTATTTATGTGCTGCATTCATACATGTTTCAGACCTGTTGAGGACAAAATGATTCATTTTTTTCTGAGCTGAGAAAAAGAACCAAGATTTCAAATGGAGGTTTTGTGTACTTCTCCCACACTCATCCCATTTGATAGCTCTTCGGCAAAATCTTGATAACTTTAAAGTCAAAAAGGTAACACTTTACAATAAGGTACGCAGAATTGTGCTTCGTTACAATGGAACGACTTAGGGGGTAATGAGTAATGAAGCAGGGAAGAATAGGTAGTTAACCAGTACTTACTCGTAAACACCCAGGTCTTATTCAGGGACTGATAGGCAGTTATCTATGAATGCAATAAGGAACGAATTCCAAATGAATGCAGTGCCTGTGGACTTTATTTTGTAAACTTCTCGAAGGATGCCGATAATTTGCAACATCACAGGTAACATCCCTGTTTCATCTTGATTTCGCTCGTCCGTCACTTTGTCGTCCATCGTTGGCATGCGTCAATCTCGAGATGATGGAAAGTGAAGCCTCCTCCCAAGTACCTACTGAGGAACGAATATGTACTTACTCAATACTTAACCATTACTTATATGTTGTTACACGGCCAGTTACCATAAAGACATTGAGCTTATTCATACATCATTTTCTTTCATCTTGTATGTAGTAATATTCAGAGATGGGTGACCAAAATCCTGCAGGTTACAGTGGTACCCGGCTCAATCAATCACTAACAAAATGTTTGATGTTTAGGGTACTTTTTTTAAATCATCAGAAAAGTACACAAAAAGTAACTTTTACATTTAGAAACTTTGAAATCAACATGTAAAAAGACTCTAAAACTACCTATTCTTCCCTGCTTCATTACTCAGTACCCTTTAAGTCGTTCCCTAGTAACAAAGCACAAATAGATAACTACCTATTAGTCTCTGAATAAGACTGCTGGGTGTTTACCAGTAAGCATTGGTTAACTACCTATTAGACCATGAAACAAGACTGATGAGCATTTTCACCAGTAACTACTGGTTAACTACCTATTCTTTCCTGCTTCATTGCTGATTACCGCCTAAGTCGTTCCCTAGTAACGAAGCACAATTTTGCGTACCTTATTGTAAAGTGTTACCGTCAAAAAAATAAAAAACAAATAAATGTTTCTAATCATTTTTGAAATTATGAAGAAATTCTGGTGGTGTGGGTGATCCTTTACCTGTACCTGAGCCCAATGAGTCACTCCCCTTTAGTTACACATGAATCACCAACACACAAGCAGCTAATAGGGTGGAGTTAAAATGGTTATTTTTAACTTTTAACTTCTGGCAATCTGAACTTGGAATGCAGACTAGATGGAACATGTCCCAGAGCGTAGAAGAGCCCGGGAAGGAGAATACTGTAGACCTGCACATCATCTGTGGTGTTTAATCATCATGACATAGTAACCTCATTAATAATAATAATAATAATAATAATAATAATAATAATAATAATAATAAATGTAGTTAACAGTAAATATAACGCTACGACCACTGATGTTGTGTGTTCAAAGAAAGTGAAACTAAACAAGCTCTGGTCCCCACAAGCTGTTTACTGCTGAACCTGTTGAGTGTGATTTTTTTTAAATGCTTGTGTGTGTGTGTGTGTGTGTGTGTGTGTGTGTGTGTGTGTGTGTGTGTGTGTGTGTGTGTGTGTTTCCATAGCTTAAATACCATAGAGACCTATTGTAAGACAGTGTTTGTGTGAAGTGATGACGCCTTTATATGGCTGTCACTCATGCTTAGCCTGAAGACGGGCTCTCCCACACAAACCTTTAAACCCTTTCTCTTTGCCTCATCCTTCACGGGTGTGCTTCTTGAACGATGGTGTGATAATTTCTTCTTTCAACTCTGAGAGCACTATTTAAAGAGGTTGTTTACTGTAATAGTGTCACACACCTTTTATGCTTCAGCTACAACACCACACATGATGTCTGAGTCTGAAATGGACCTTACTGGTTGGACAAGATTGGCTGTAAACACACAGGTTTGGATTCACAAAGGACAGTGCAGCTTTTCTGGAGCTAATCAGTACCAAAACCTCAACTGTCCATCCAACTCATGTAAGCAACCCAACAACATCTCCATGTGCTGTTTATGGGACAACATTGAGAAGACCCTGAGCAGATCCGGAAAGAACAGCGCCAGAAAACTACAATCACCGCTGAATTATCTCGATGGAATTAACTGAAGGACCAACAATGACTGAGCGGTCACACCAAGGTTGAGTGCTTTCTGCTCCACAAGTAACAACATTTACTGTAATGTTTTTTTAAACAAGCAACAGTCACGGCGATATGGTGTAAAACTACCCTGAAACGTATGCATGTACCGCCCCCTAGCACCAGAAAACTACACACTGCCAGTTTAAGTACCTCTGTTTACTCTTGCCTCAAAGAAAAGCCCAAGTCTAAATAGTCAAAAGATGATGCCAAAGCCATTTCAAATGAGCCATCACCATCTTGTTTTTTTTTTTTGGGTCGGTTGCAGTAACATTCCACCCATCAAACCTGTAAGAGCACTGTGATTGGCCCATCAATTCTATAGAGTGCTATGAGCGTTAAGACAGAAGACTGCTGATGTTCCAAAGGAGTGTGGCTAGACCAGCCTGCAAAGCCTACGCTTCTACCTTCCCCCGATTCAAATGCAAAACCGTGTTGCTTCTGCTGCTGTGTCTGGGGTTCCAGGCTTTCTTTAGCCAAGTCAATTTGTCATGAATACATGCAAGTTTTATGAGTCTATTTATTTTGGAAATGAATGATAAAATAATATGTTGAACATTTTATTGATATTCTAAGTTTTTGAAAATTGCCTGTATATGTGACCTCTTCATAGATTAACCCAAACACATAGCAGATATTTTGTTAGGACGTAAGGAAACAATATTAAATTTTAATGAATTAATTTTTAAAATTCCTCACAAGTAAACTAGGCTTTGGACAGGAACTGATTTTAGACCTCAAAGTAAAGTCCAAATGTCCTAAGATTTGTTTCCTCACCTGCTCATCAGAGATGGCTACTCTGTTCTTAAAGACAATCCATTCAACGGTCTCGCTGCAGGGTGGCGTAGTCAGGGAACCGTTGTAGATGAAGTACTTCTCCGTGGAGTTTGGCAGAAGACCTTGCATAGTAAACGGCAAAACCTCTGCACTCTTACCTGGAAAGAAAATAAGAAAATAATGAGAAACAGGCCCAAAACCAGGAGTTAGTGGATTGGAGATAGAAGAGAAACTGTAGTACCATATCTGCTCACACTGCTGATGCTGTCTATGATGGCGGCATAGTCCATGTTGTCTTCAGTACTGGTCTGTCAAAATAAAAAACCAACATAGCCACATATTATCAAACCCCTTTTTCTGGATATACTCATTGAGATCTACTCAACTCAACTTTTATTTATGTAGCACCTTACAATCAATCAATCAATCAATCAAAGCTTTATTTATAAAGCGCCTTCCGCGACCCTGTCGGGAAGTCCAAGGCGCTGAACATGGTACATGAGTAACGTGAAACATGATGAATAAATCGAAAATAAAAGCAATTCAAATGGTGCAAAAAAGGTAAAACATTAAAGTATTAGACAAATGGGTAAAACAAGGGATAAAGAGACCAATGATAACAGGAAAATGAAATCAACATAAGAGGGCCAAATTCAAACACGTTCAGGGAATGCCAAGCAGAGGAGGTGGGTTTTTAGGCAACTGGCAGAGATCGGCACAGGCTAACTGAGGGTGGCAACTGGTTACAGAGTGACGGGGCTAGGACTGAGAAAGCCCAGTCCCCGTGAGTACGACAACTGGAACGAGGGACTGCGAGCAGGCCTTGGTCAGAGGAGCGCAGAGCACATGATGGGGAATGTCTGTTCAGGAGCGTGGCTAGATAGGGGGAAACACCACCCTGGAAGAAATTGTAAACAAAGACAAGGAGTTTAAAATGTGAACGATAGCAAACCGGAAGCCAGTGCAGGGAGGCCAGAACCGGACTGATGTGGTCCCATTTCCTGGTCCCAGTCAGAAACCTGACTGCGCTGTTCTGCACAACCTGTAGGCAACGCAGTAATGATTGACCCAGGCCTGCGTACGGAGAGTTGCAGTAATAAAGCCTACAATTTACAAAAGCATGGAGTACCCACTCCAGATGGGCTCTTGACAGCATAGGCTTGATTTTTACAAGGCGTCTCAGGTGAAAGAAACTGGACCGGATCACAGAGTTGATGTGAGCATCAAATTTAAGTCCAGCGCCAATTTTCACCCCCAGACTGGTGACAACTGGTTTTGAGTGGGGAGAAAGAGGCCCAAGATCAACATAACGACCCACAGCCCTGCGGTTGGGGTGAAAAACATTGAGCTCTGTCTTTCCCTCATTCAGACACAGATAGTGTGTCATGGTCCGTGGTGAGCTGCCTGTCAGTAATCTTGTTGTCCTCTGAGTCTTGTCTGCAGGTGGGTGTGTCTGAGAGCAACCAGCTGCAGCTGATCCTGTCATCAAGGCCCAGGGGATTTAAGGAGCAGTGTGACACAACACCACGCTGGATGATTACTCTGTTTGGGTAGCTCTAGCCACTAACCTGCCTTGAACTTGTGTATCTTGTTAGAAAACCTGCCGCCGGAATAATCCAAGACGACTCTGCCCTGCTCTCCTCCAGGTTTCCACTCCATGTTCCCTCGTCTCCATAACCAGCCCGGACTCCTTCACTCTAGATCACACTGCCGTTCCCCTGGCCGCCTGCTCTCAGCCGCTCACCTGCCCTCACCAGCATCCGCTCCAACCTCACCTCTGGATAAACAGTTTGTCACCTTCTGGACCTCCTCAGCTCTCCCGGACCTGACCAAGCCCCCTCCGTGCCTCCTACCGTTGCCGGAAAACAGTATGTTTTCGTCTAAGTCAATATCTCCATAAATCCCTCTGGAATCTCACTCTGTCTCCCTCCTCAGAACCTGACCCTGGAATCCTGCTACCAGTACACAGCATCTTCAGTTCCCGTTGCTCCTCTTTAGCTCCTCATTTAAAATAAATCTTTTTACACTTACCTGTTTCCCGTGTGTGACTCTGCATGTCGTGGGTCAAGAAACTGCCACCCAACATGACATAGTTGGCCATTAGCCAAGACTTTACCTCGTTAAGACAGGACACAAAGGACTGGATAGAGAGACCTTTCTCCTGACACAATGGAGAGCAAATCTGGCAATCGTCAGCATAGAGATGGAACGTTAGGCCATGTTTACGAAAGACTGACCCCAGAGGAAGCAGAGAAATTGCAAACAAAAGAGGACCAAGGATTGATCCCTGCGGGACCCTCCAGTGGAGCCCCTCCCAAGAAGAAAAAACATCACCCAGTTTAACACAGAATGTCCTGTTGTGGAGATACGATCTAAACCAATCCAGAGCAGACCCTTTGATCCCAACCCATCATTCCAAGCGATCGAGTAGAATCGCGTGGTCAAATGTGTCAAAAGCTGCTGTCAGCTCTAACAACAGAAGCACCACATATGTACCCTGATCTAGCAATAGATATCATTTAAGACCCTCAGTCGAGCCAACTCTGTACTATGGCCAGACCTGAACCCTGATTGGAAAACCTCAAACAGATCAGAGTCAGCTAAATGTGAGACCAGCTGCTGATAAACAATTCAATTAAATTCAAATTCAATTAAATTCAAAAATACATTATTAATCCCAGAGGGAAATTGATTGCTGTAGGAGCTCAGAATAATAATATTAATCAAGTCATCAAAGAGTTATTGTATATTACAATGGCTGTTGGCAGGAAGGATCTCCAGTAGCGGTCAGTGTTACAGCGAAACTGAAGAAGCCTCTGACTGAAGACACTTTTCCGTTGTCGGGCAGTCTTGTGAAGAGAATACTCAGGGTTGTCCATAATTTTCTTGATTCTCTGGAGAATCCTTCTTTGCATTATCTCGTCCAGTGGTTCCACAGTCGTCCCCAGAACAGAACCGGCCTTTTTTATTAGGCGGTTGAGCCTTTTCAGGTCCCTGCTTCTGATGCTGCTACCCCAACAGACGATGGCTGAAGAGATTACACTCTCAACAACAGACTTGTAGAAGATCTGCAGCATCTTGCTACAGACATTGAAGGACCTAAGTGTCCTCAAGAAGTGCAATCTGCTGTGCCCCTTCTTGTAAACGGCTTCACTGTTCTTTCTCCAGTCCAGTCTGTTGTCCAGGTGAACTCCAAAGTATTTGAATTCCTCAACCACCTCCACTTCTTCTCACATGATGAAAACAGTGTTTGACTCCACCCTGTTTCTTCTAAAGTCTAAAATCATATACTTTGTTTTGTTCATGTTCAAGGTCAGATGATTGTTTCCACACCATGCCACAAAGCGCTTCACCAGCTCTCTGTACTCAGCTTCCTGTCCATCTCTGATACACCCGACCACTGCAGAGTCATATGAGTATTTCTGTAGATGACAGGTCTCTGATTTGTACTGGAAGTCTGAGGTGTACAGGGTGAAAAGGAATGGTGAGAGTACAGTCCCCTGTGGTGCTCCAATGTTACTGATCGTCGGGTTAATGTGCAGTTCTTCAGCCTCACAAACTGTGGTCTGTTTGTCAGGTAGTCTTTAATCCAGGCAATAGTTGAGGTCCTCACCTGTGTCTTCTGGAGTTCCTGGCAAAGTACATCAAGCTGGATTGTGTTAAATGCACTGGAGAAATCAAAGAACATGACCCTGACAGTACTGCCTGCTTTGTCCAGATGTCAGTGGATTGGTTGAAGCAGCTGGATGATGGCATCTTCAACTCCATCTCCATGGCGATAAGCAAACTGCAGCGGGTCCTGATATGTCCTAGTTTGCTTATTCAGGTGGACCAACAGGAATCTCTCCAGGACTTTCATGATGTGGGTTGTCAGGGCAACCGGTCTGTAGTCGTCATTGACTGATGGGCGAGTTTTCTTTGGAACTGGAACAAAGCAGGATGTCTTCCACAGGACTGGAACCTTCTCCTGGGCCAGGCTGAGGTTGAAGAGGTGCTGCAGAATCCCACAGAGATGCTCTGCACAGAGCTTCAGTACCCTCGGGCTGACACCATCTGGACTTGCAGCCTTGTTCCTGTTCAGTCTCTCCAGCTGCCTCTTCACCTGACCTCTAGAGACAGATAGGTGGGAGGGGGAGGTAAATGGGGCAGCAGCATCTCCTGACCTGGTTGAAGACAGATTTATAGAACCAGAAGAGTCCATAACTGCGTTAGAGGACAAAAGAGCTGGCATGTGACAGGAAAATGTTGGATCAGAGGAGGACGGGATGTCTGATTGGCTGGGGACAGGCGAGGAGGATGCTGGGTTTGTTCCTGAACTGAACCTATTGAAGAACTTGTTCAGTTCATTGGCTGTGTCCAGGCTGCCATCTGTGCAATCCTTCCTCTGCTTGGAGCCTGTGGTCTTCTTCATCCCTGACCAGACATCTCTGATATTGTTCCTCTGTAGTTTGTTCTCCAGTTTCTTCCTGTATGCCTCCTTGCTGTCTCTGATCTTGATCTTCAGTTGCTTCTGTATACTCCTCAATAATTCCCTGTCTCCCTCCTTGAATGCTTTTTTTTCTCATTTAGCAGATTCTTCAGTTCACTGGTGATCCAGGGTCTGTTATTAGCGAAGCATCTCACTGTTCTGGTGGGTATGATGTTGTCCACACAGAAGTTCATATAGTCAGTGACCAGTCATGGCATTGATGTCCTCTTCATATCCTTGGCAGAGAGTCATCCAATCTGTGGTCTCAAACAACTCTGCAGGGCTTCTTCAGCGTCCTGTGACCATTTTATCACAGTTCTTCTTGTCAAAGGTTGCCTCTGAACAAGTGGTTTGTATTCTGAGCAGAGGAAACAAGATTGTGATCTGATTGTCACAGAGGAGGTCTTGTTTTGGACATGTATGCATTCTTTACATTTGCATAACACAAATCCAATGTTTTGTTTTCTCTGATGGAGCAGCTGACAAACTGTTGAAATGTTGGAAGTGTAGCAGAGAGCCAGGCATGATTAAAATCACCAGATATAGCCACAAATGCATTGGGGTGCTGGGTTTGTAGCTTGGCGACAATGGAACTGATGGCATCACATGCACTTTCAGCAATGGCTGAAGGTGGAATATAAACGGTTGCCAAGACAACACTAGTGAACTCTCTTGGCAAATAAAATGGGTGACAACTTACTACCAAGAGTTCAACAAAGAGTTCAACATGTGGGCTGCAGAGATGACATTTCACTGAAACATGACCTGGATGGCACCATCTGTTTTTGACAAGCACTGCCACTCCACCTCCTTTTCTTTTCCCGCTCTTCTTCAGATCTC